CATTGGTAGTTTTGGTTGTGATGATGGTGTTGGTGCTGGTGATCGGGCTGGCGTTGATTGTTCGGGAGTTGCTGTTGCCGCTGGCTTCGCTGGTGGTGGATGATGTTGCGATGGCATCGCCGGAATTGGATGTGGTGGTTGTGATGGTGTTGGTGTCGGCGGTTTTGCAGGTGCTGTTGTTGCGATGGTTGGCGTTGCTGCTTTTGCTGGTTGTGTGGGTGTTGACATGGTGGTTGTTGGTGCTGCTGTTGCAGGCTCACCAAGTTTCGCCGGCATGGCCTTGATCGGAGTCGTTGCTTTGGCTGTGTCTGATTCTGTTGTTGCTGTCATCACTGTTGCCTGTGGTGTTAGATATGTTGGAACTGCTGCTACAGTCGCTTCAGGTGGTGGTGCTGGTGGAAATTCTGTGCTCTCAGTAGGTGTTGGCATCGATGGTTGAGCTGGTTCTGCTGATGGTGGTTCTGCTTTTGGTATTGGTGATGGTGGTGCAGGTGTTGGTGTTGGTCTTGGTGCTGGAGGTGGTTCTGATGATGGTTGTCCTGTCTTTGGCAGTGGTGGTGGTGATGCAGGTGATGGGGTTGTTGATGGTGATACTGGAGATGGTTGTCCAGTTCGTGTTGCACTCCTGGCTGGGGCTTCTGTGGATGATCTGGCAGGTGCTTCTGCTGGGGTTTCGGGGACATCTGCATACGGATTATCACTAGGGGCTACGCCAATGGGAACATCTGGAGTTTCTTGGTACTGACGATTCATATGGCTATATAACCCATAGACTGTTGGGGGTAAACCTCCACCTCTCCTGGGAATGCTCTGGAATGCGTCGGTCCTAAACACAAGATGTCCGCTGGGAGCCCTCTCTAGTGGAATATGTATCGCGTCCGCACCCCAGCTAATGGTATAGCTACCCGTGGCTGTGAGGGTGAGCATTTCCCTGCCAGGTGCCATTTCCAGCATGGCGTTGTGATTGCTCATGCTCCTCAAGCCAAGTAGTGCCGGGAGGTCACGGCCCTCCCCTTCTACCATGGGGGTTTCGAAGTTGAATGATACAGATTCGCCCCTAACCAAATGACCCTCACCTTCTTCCGGTTGAGAGCGGGGGTGGATGATGTTGGGTATTGCTATCGGCAATGTGGCAACATGCGTACAGCTTTGGGTACCCTGTCCTACTCCCCTGACGGCCATTGGGTTGGTCATGGACTTACGCGTCGACCTCAAGCCCGCATTCCGCGCGGCTGTGGCTTGGCGTTCAGCCCATTGCTGACCTGCTAGATTGGTCCATGCCCCTGGATCAACTACAATTGATTGATGACCAGGCACTTGGGTGGATGAATGGTATGTGGATGCGGCTCCAGTTGCCTCTGCCATCTCAGGCCACCATGGAAAAGTGGGTGTCCCGTGTGGTGTCCTAAACTCATCGTGTTGATCTGCTCTTGGAGATGTGGGTGCCAAGTAGCGATAATGTGCAACTACCTGTCCCCCACCGCGGCAGCATGGGCATGTTGGATTTTCTTCCCTCAAAAGAACTTCAGTCCAACAATTTTCATGGAAGGTATGCCTGCAGGTCAATCGCACCAGTTGTTCTCCTGCACTATATTCTTCCAAACAAATGCTGCAGCGGTGTTCATCCCCTAAGTATTCAACATTGGGTTGTCCGACATTTGGAGTTACCATGGGTTCTGTGGGATTATTCGAGGGTGTTACTGTGGGGGCCGGATTCACCTCACTCCTCGAACCTTCCGATTCACGAGTCCTCATCTCCTGCAGTGTCATCATCGTCCGGTGCTGATGATGAAGAGCACGTACCTGCGGATGATTGAATGCTGGCTCACTGACCCTTTCTGATACTCTAGAAGCTATTGGGATCTCACGCAACTGGTTTGCTTGATGAAATTCCCCCACAACTTGACTACGGATCGTGTCAAGTGTGCTGATAGCATTCTCTGAGACAATCGGATGATAGGTCGGTGCACGCACTTCCGAGGCAGTCCCCTGCAAGAAATTAAACTCGGGCATCAATGCCCATCCTGGCAACTCCGGGGTCGGATGTTGTAGGATCACTGTTGGGATCTCCCCTGGTCCCACGATCAGTGGGTGTTGTGGCACTTCGTGCCGATGGACCGGTGGTGGTTGCATTGGTGGTGGTTGCGTGGCGTGGGCGACATATGGTTCTTGGATAGTAGTCGATTCTGCAACAGGTTGCTGTAAAAATGGTTCGCTGGTTACATTTCTGCCCTGTGGATTAGTGGGGTTATTCTGGGGAAGATTATTCATTGGATTAGTGGCTAGTGGGGTGTTATGGGTAAATTGGTTCATCATTGGCGGTCCAAAAGATCGTGGTTCTGTGGTCGGATGCATCAGGCCATTCAGGCCATTGAAGACACTCTGCATGTACAAGGATTGATCGGCCATATCCACTGCCCGGGTCGTGCGCGGCAGTGGTGGCATTGGATTCACAATCCCCCCAATGACCTGTCTCCCAGTCCTGCTCTCGGTGTACCGCCTCCAAGGATCACTATTGGTCCACGGGTCCTGAGGTGCTGCTGGTAATGTGGATGCATTGGATGGGGGTCCACCAGAAACTGTCGACCAATGATCAGTTCCGGATTCTTGTCCAACATTAGCATCTACTTCATTGACCATGAGGACCGTGGTTGATGTGATTACACCTGGGGGAATCTGGTCGGCGGTGTCCAAGTCTACGAACAAGTTCTGAGACGAGTCATTGGTTGCAGCCCGTCTTGGGCACTTGGCAACCAGATGATCTTCCGAACCACATTCGTGGCATCTCATCTTACGTCCATCCGGGCCTCTTGGATTGCCCTTTCTGCCCTTACCCTTGCCACTCCCTGCCCCTTTCTTTCCACCTTTTGCCCTAAAGGCATGGAAAATTTCCATGAGCTGGGATTCATTGAGTTCGGACAAATAAGATGAAGTATTGATGATCTTGCCTTTGGGTTTTCCATGTTTTGATTTACCACCCTTTCCACCTTTGTAGATGGCTCTGCGGGCAAACCTCCGAGCTTTTCGGGTCGGCTTGCCCATGAATGACCTCCAGCGTGCCTTAGCACGAGAATAGGCCCAGTAGAGCTCGGCAGCCTGCTCATTGGCCGTGGCACCCTCAGCAGCTGGCCAGGCTTCTTCGCCATAGTCACTGCTGGTGTCAGTGTCAGTGCCACTGTCACCCTGGCCCTCTGACAAATACACGTATGGATCTTGCGGCTGTGTATAAGTGGGGTATGCTTCGGGTGAATGCCATTGGGATTGCCAAGAACTCGGGTCGTGCCATGAGCTACTGGGTTGGTCATTCTGAGATGTGAATACATTTTCATTCCATGACTGCTCGTCCTGAATATGGTAACTGTGTGTTGGATGTTGTCTACCCCGCAACATGTTGGACATGTTTCCTGGTGCATTTTCAATGATCCTACCCATACGTCTGATGGAGTCTTTCAACCCTGTGAATTGCTGCTCATCAGCAGGGAGAGCACCACCGAGTGGCTGTAGAAGTTGGATCAATTGAGAATCCGAGACACCTACGGCACGGATCAGCAACCAAGAAAGACCAGCATAGCTCAGGGCGAGCCCACCTGTCTCTGCCGCACGCATGCGGGTAGTATCAAACCTAGTCAGCAGCATGTCGATCCTTTCATTGGATTCCCTTCCAAATGACAACAGATCTCCTACTGCCCCTAGCCGGACTTCCTCACCGAGCCTGGCAAATCGGGTGCTAAGTTGATACATCAAAAACGTTAGTGGGTCGGTTTGGGTACCATTTACGGTCCCCCCTGTCAGAATGGTCTGCGGCGGAAGTGTTCTGCTGAATTCCCTGGCTGATCTCTGCAGTTGAGAAATCACACTAGCCGCCTTTCGAGATGCATCCCCATCTGTAGCAATGCTCCAAATTAAGATGTCCCTAGACCAAGTACTGAAGCTATACTGATGCTCCATTTCTGGGCTCCATGCGGGGGGCAATCTTGGATGGTTACTCCTTCCTGGCACCATGCAAGCCACTAATGCACATGTGCTAAGGCCGCCTCCAGCGGCTAGCAATAGTGTCGAATCCGAGAGCGATCTACCATCACGGTGACCAGCGGTCATCGAACCCGAATTGCCATGGGCTTCAGGAGACTTCACCTTCCGATTGCCTGCTGTGGATCCGGTCATGCATTGGTTCCTGGATCTAATGGCTGCATCTTTCCCATAGACCAGCTCACAGAGTTCCTTGTGACGAGACTTCAGATGTTTCAGCTTAGAGTCGTACATGTTTAGCATTCTTTCAAACACTAATCTCTGCTGCCGTCTGAGTCGCCTACGCAAAAGCTCTGCCCTACGCTGATCCCGAGGGTTCGTTTTGAACTTCCTCCTTGAGTGGTGCAGCCGCACCAGGGTCGAATTCAGCTCCTGCCTCCACTGATCCCCATTCACCAGACTGGGCTTGTACTCGCCTTCGGGCCTGGCCTGTACTGGGGCTTTGCGACCATTGCTCGCTGCATACCAGTGTGTAGTGACACTGATCGAGCCTGCCCCAACCGTACTGGACTGGATCACAAGAGCGCTGGTATTGCGACTCTTGATCACCAGCCCAGTACTGGCTGAGACAGACCCCACCAGTGCCACCACTAACACGGCACACAACTTCAGCACGGCGGTGAACATGATGACAATCAATGGAGTAAGGATGAAAAGAAAATGAAAACAGTCGAGTCGACCCTTAGGGTATAGCAGATACCTTAAATGGGGGTTACTGCCGGGGTTCCCGGCTCCGCTACCAACTCGAAAAATAGAGGAACTAAGGTGACAAAGAAGTACTGTTTCCGCAAATGTCTGTTTTCCTCTGTCCGCTTGTGACGAAGTCTTGTGTTTACCTAGGTCGAGCTCTAGAGCCAGAACAGTTACATGGATAACAATGTACCTGAGGCATGGTAGATCATGTACCTTTCAAGTCAGTGCCAGAAGAGTCATAACGAATAGTAGAGGATCATAAGTTCATAAGGAGTCACCCATCTTCTTGTCGCAATGGAGCGGCAAAGCAGAAGAATCCTGCGCTGAACTTCTCCAGTGCAAGTCGCAAGGATGACAAATCCACGCGAGCAAGATATAACGAGCCTCAATCCCTCGATGACGCACCCCGTGGAAAAATGTATCATCAAACACCACTGCTTTGCCTTCGGACCAAGTCACCGTTTCGTTGGCTACCCACATCTCTGCACCAGGTGGTGTTATCAATCCCAGGTGAATTGCTAAACTTGGCTCTGTGGCAAAGTGGGGTTTTATTTCAGAGCCCGGAAGAAGTCGCGCAAAGGCAACCCCGGCATTGGGCACGCGCTCTGAGAAACAGTGCGCATTGATTTCAGGACGCTCTTCCAACAACGCACAGCTTTGCGGAGTGTAAGGACATACTGCAGTGCGGTTGCCTTGGCGGATCAGATCCAGGAGGCCCCAGTCTTTCGGAAGTGGAGTAAACTCTGTTTGTTGTTCCTGCACTGTTCGGAAAAGCTCATCGTAGTCCATATCAGCAAGTATCAATCTATCAAGTTCAGCACGGAAAATGTGGGCATGTTCTTCCAGGAAGTTGGCAAGGGGTGGCCACGCAGAGCGCGGCCAAACTGGCCAGTGCTGGGAACTGCGCAGAAGATCATCGTTGTGATTGGCCCTGTAGGGACCTTGACCTGGAAGCAAGCTTCGATGGTGTGCGAAGTAGGGCAACATCCGCATCGTCTTGAGGTGTGCCTCTGCCAAACGGAAGTGCTCAGCAGCACCCTTCAAATCTTTATAAGCTGCCAACTGCTTGGCTATTTCCACCAGCAACAGTAGTACGAAGCGCCAGCGCCACGGGCATTTCCTTGCTTCAAATTCTATTTGAGCTATGCCCGGTGAAGAACAGCTTCCAGCCACGCTGGCCGTGTGCAGGCTGGCAGACAAAGATACAATTTCGATACTTGGACCTAGAAGCCGGTTGTCTTCATCATCTGGCGGGTGTAAGCCCCACCAAAAGTACAGGAAAAGCATTTGGCCCACACCAATTGCATATTTGAAGTGGTCAGGGCTGGCCAAGCTGAAGCTTGCCAATTCTTTCAGCTGCTTCAAAGTTGATGCCCTCAACTGGAGATCACTCGCCAAATAAGGTGGATCTTTCTTCGTGTAGAGCCCTTTCATCCAGGCTGCTAGCAAGCCAAAGCTTAGCTCTTCTTCGTTGGTAGCATCTCCACGCTGATTTGACTCCCACAATTCATGCACGCACTGAGGTAGAATCTTGATGCACTCGTCCATTTCAGTCACTCCTGCTGCAAGCGTGCCTCTGGCAATGCTCAATTGCAGTAGTATGAGGACTAAAGTTAGCATCTTTGCAATATTGCCTGCAGTGCTGAAACCTAACCCATCAATCGCTGGAATTTCACTTCCCAATACGGATGTCACACAGGCATAGCCACATGCAAAGCTGGCTTGATCTGGCGTGGCTTGAACCTTTTCATCTCGCAGCATGGGCATTAAGATCCAAGTTATGATGTCTGATGCACGGAAAATTATCATCATCATTATGTAAAATTAATATAAATTAGTAACATCCCCGGCACACCTGTCACATTCTTTGAAAGTTTCACAGGAAAAGAAACATCGCTGGAGGCACGATGTTGAAGCCGCATGCCCCGGCTCACAAGAATCTTCCTCAATCAGGCTAGAGCTACGAGTCTGCCACTGAGAATCTCAAACAGACTCCTGGGGCTTCCGGGGCTTCTGGGGCTTCTAGCTTCCAACCAGCGCCGACGCCATCAGCAAAGGTAGGACCAGCTGCCGCTACATCCGCAGGTGGCCTTGAAATTTTGAGTCCAGGGGCGAAAAGTGCTGAAAATCTCCAGATTCTACACCTGAAACCTGACTGCAAGCATCCTATTGCACCAAGGCTCGGCAGCATCTTCCATGGATAGCTTTGGACGGTCTCCTACAGGGCTCCCGTTGCAACTGTAATGGATGGAAAATAAAAAGCACCAGTCACGTTCATAGGATAAACGTTCCAACATTAAAATGAATAATTTCAAAGTGGTGTAGTGGAATCCTCAGCTTCCGATGCAGGTCTTTTTGACCCTAGGCTATCGTGCTTCAAGAATCAACGTGGGAATCATGAAATTTGACCGCCGGCCTCTTTTGCTTCCAACTTCATTTGCTTCCTGGCAACTTGTTGGGTGCATGCGACAAAACGGCAAACAAAACTTGAAGCATGTGGGCGGCAGAGTAGCCCCCATCCAAGCGGTGCACTTTGCTAGCAGGACGAATGCTAAGTAGATTAAGTAACAAGTATAGCAAGTGACTTGCAAATCTGTTGCCAGAAAGTGCAGCAAAGCGTCTTCCCTGGAATGCACACTGCCTCGGCAAATCTCAGCAAACAGGCGTAGATCGTAGAAGGTCTTTCCGGAAACAGTCCAGTTAGGCTTGGAGAAAATTGCCTAAATGCAAACCATGGAACTGTCAGTGACCCCAGCAAAGCTGCGACAATGGCAAGCTTCCAAACCCTAGCCGCATCTATGCCTCCTGAAGCAAAGCCAAAGCTCCAAAGCGATTGACCGTCTGGATGTGGGCAAATGGTTTGTTTCTTTCTGCTTGCCTCCCTTGGCATGCCTGGCTGCCCCCGTGCTGCAGGGTGAAAGATCATTCCCTCTGGACTTTACAGTTCAGAGTGTGACTGGGTCAGTGTTGAGGACTGGTGCGGTCCTCGTCTCATAATGTCATTGGCGGTGCCAAAGTGGGGGTACCTAAGTCCCGCTAAAAAGGATCTGTGTTCCAGAATCTGACTCAGATCTTGCAAAGACTTAGTCATTATCAGTCAGTCCTCTCAACACTCCTCTCGTCAAATACGGTGGTCCCAAGGCCAATCAGTTGCAGACGTGATAGACGCTGGCGTGAAATCCTGGACGCACTTTCCATTTTGCTTGCAAGGTCTTGTAAGACTCTTGGCTGCAATCAATGTGTTGTGGCCTTGCCATGCCTTGCCTTCAAATCCTGCAATATTTGGCTCGAAGATTCAGAAACTTGGCTTGAAATAGTGGAGAGAGCGGCTGACTGATGGAACTGTGGAGCTGCCGCCACTGCCACTGATGCCTGGAGAAGCGATTCGAATGCCGTTATCGTTCAAAACAGAGCAGCTCGGCATAGCTGGGCAATGCTCGGCACGCCTGGTTGAGAAACAACAGAGCCGTCAGAGCCCATACCCGCCATACCCGCCATCCCTGCACCTCAAGGCACAAAGGGCACAATGATTTTTGGTATCACGTAACGATGTCCGCACCGTGCACTCTTAGCCGTCTTACCTCAAATTGCCAGGGTGCTGATGATCTCAGGCTGCTAAAAATGATCATGACCTCATCGCAGAACAAGTGCTTCAACCCAAAAATCACAGTAGACCTACAGTAGCTCAAATCAGGAACTCATGGCAAAAACGCGGTTTGTGGGAACAAAGTCTGAGGCACTTGAAATGCTTGCAAGCAGCTTCTGCCTTTGAGGAATGTATTTAGTAGGCTCACCGCAAAAGCTGGCATTCCGGCAGCAAGCATGGCTTGAGCACAAACGTCTGCCTTTCGCAAACCTTCACAAACATCCAACGCACTTTTATTCACGATAGAGGCATAGTGGGCCATTGACACTTTCAGGCACTATATGGCACTATACACTCATCACAATCTTGTCTTTTCTATCTGGCATGACAAATACCTTGGAAGCATTCAAACAAATGAAAGCCTGATGCATGTGCTGCAGCTCCGGACTGAAATTAAGCACATATGCATAGTCGTGCAAAGAAAGTTTAAGGTTTGCAAAAATGTGTGAAAGTGCAGCAATCAGCAGAGTCTGCTACTACCTCAGCTTCCAAAACAGATCTTGCAACATCTTTCAACATGATTAAGCATACTTTGCCTGAACAAGTGGGGCCAGTGGGGCAAGCAGCAGGACAGTGCCCCAGCCCTTCATGGGCTAAAGCAAGTCCTGGAACCAGGTCTCCGAACAGCGAACTTATGAAACTTGCAAGGTGAGGCCCCCTAGGCCCCTAGGCCCTAGATAGTGAACTTGACATATAACTTGGTTAGCTAGGGTTTGTGGGTGGATATGACTATAGTGACTATAGTCAATGGGGTTTACAAACCAACTTGCAACCGGGGGGTGCACCTTTCACCTTGTGTGAGGGTGCTCAACATATCATTCCAAACATTCCAAAACACAACAATAGTAAATTCATTTCAAGACTGTGCAACGTTGTGATTCTATACTATACTGCATCAGATGTTGCATGGGAAGTCGACAGGGGCTCAAATAGATCCTCAGGAATCTGAATTCACTTGAGTGCACGTAGCGGACGTAGCGCATTAGTAAAGACAAACTTGGTCCTGGCCTGGGTGACCAACTGCACCCCACTTGCACGGAGACCCGGCTCTGAGACCCGAGAGGCTGCAGTGTTTCACACGTTGCAAGGCTTGGCTTGAGGGCTTGAGGGCTTGAAGGATCTTCATGTTTTCACCGAGCACTGCACCAGAGTCCATTGTCCAGGAAAAAAAACATCTATATAATATATCAGTCTATCAGCATCTATCAGTGCATCTATCATGAGCTGAGGGTGGCACGGCATTGGGCCCTGAACGGGGCCAATGTTGAATGAGAAGACGACTCGCCTCACATTCCAGGCACTGGCTGGCACTGGCTGGCACTGGCTGGCAGCTGCAGTACATGTGGTTTCCTCTTTGCCAAAATGTCAAAGATGTAACGGGAACGACCAAGCAGACCACAGCGGCGGGGTCCCTTTCGAGTCAGGATTGGTCCTTGGCTCAGACTGAATTCAAATGGAAGACGGTCAGACGGGCTCTGGTTCCTTCAGAGGTGGTGATCTCTGGTGATCTCTGGTGACTCTGTATGACTTCAGGATTCAGTCGTAAGCTGCTTGCTGCGGAGCCGTCACTGTTGCCATGTGACTAAGCCAAGACCTAGTTGTGCTGGGGTTGCAAATGCCACTTGCAAAAAGGCGGCATGCACAACACAAGATGTGAAGAGTTCTAAAGCCTCACTGACTGTGTAAAAGGACCATAAACAGAGAACAAGTGCAACAAGTACAAAGACGGAGATCATTGAATCACGAACATCATTCCAATTGGAACACTGTCCCCATTTAGACGCTTCAGATGTCACACTTCATGCGGTGTTTGCAGGGTTTTGACTCTCTCACCCTTGTGCCCCTCACAGTCCCTTTTCCCCACAGGAAACACATCTCCCAAAACGGGGATTCACTGGAATCACCTTCAGAGTGCAGCATTGCTATCTGAGAACACCTTCAAGTTTCTGTAAGACAAGGGCCTTGGGGGTAACATATGATTCCCAATGATTATAAACTATTGTCAGCCGGGACACTGCCACTTGCAACTGCAAGCTCTATGCACTTCATCCAAGGCCCACCCCGTAAGGCATCCAAGGCCCACCCCGTAAAGTGCATGTGCGAGTTCATTCAAGTTCATGCGAATTCAAATCAACATTTACATGCCGCCGTATCCCACTAAAATCACAGGGTAGCATCAATAAAGTGCCAGCGGAGATGAATGCTAGCATGCCCCCACCCCACCCTCAGCCAACCTCTCCCCATCCCACCCCATTCGTGAGCACGTTTACAGGTTCCGATTAGCGTTGACATGCCCCACCCGAGTCAACGCCACCCAACCGACTTGCGGCATTGAGTACATATGCATGCTTAGTGCTGAAGTAGCGAAAAAAAGAAGGATGCATCCATGATCATCCATGATTCCTTCCATTATCTGACAGTCAAACAGAGATGCAATCTGTTACCCTCCTCTCCGTTCAGGCTATATAAAGGAGATACTCTCCGAAGGACTCTGATAGCCCGGAGGAAAGTTTCAGCAACAATTGCAATGACAAAATTGACTTGAATCACCTCATATAAAATAGGTCAAAACATGACTATGGAGGAAATGAAGATTGAAGAAGATTTAAATATACATACATACATACATACAAACATACATTACATACACACATACACACATACACACATACACACATACACACATACACACACACATGCACACATCCACACATACACACATACACACATACATACATACATACATACATACATACATAAAATACCATACCATACATTACATTACGTTACATTACATTACATACATACCATAACAAACAAACACACAAACATACATACATACATACATACACATTACACTACATAACATTGCATTGCATGGCATTGCATTGCAAAACATTACATTACATTACATTACACTGCATTACATTACATTACACTACAGTACATTACATTACATTACATACATTACATACATTACATACATTGCATACATTGCATACATTGCTTACATTGCATACATTGCATGCATTGCATACATTACATACATTACATACGTTACATACATTACATTCATTACATGCATTACATACATTACATACTTTACATACATACCATCCAATACCATACATAGCACACATAGCATTCATACCCCCACAAAACGCACAAAACATACATAACACACAAAACACACATAACAAACAAAAATAACATACATAACATAACAAAACATAACAAAACATAACACAACAATACTTAACAAAACATAACATAACATAAACACATACATACATACATACATACAAACATTACATTGCATTACCTTACATTACATCACATCACATTACATTACACTACATTACATAAATACATACATACCATACATACCGTTACCATACATACCATACATACCATACATACCATACATACCATACATACCATACATACCATACATACCATACATACCATACATACCATACATACCATACATACATACATACATACATACATACATACATACACACATACATACGTACAAACATACATACATACATACACACACACATACATACATACATACATTCATACATACATACATACATTACTTACTTACATACATTCTTTACATACACTACTTGCATACGTGCATACATACATTACATGCATACACTACATACACATACACACACATACATACATACATACATGCATGCATACATACATACATGCATACGTTACATTACATTACATTACATTGCATTGCATTACATTACGTTACATTACATTACATACATTGCCTACATTACATTACATACATTACATTACATACATACATTACATACATACATTACATACTTACATTACATTACATTACATTACATCACATTACATTACATACATACATACATTGAATACATTACATTACATTACATTCCATTCCATTACATTACGTTACATTACATACATACATACATTACATACATTACATTACATACATACATTACATACATACATGACGTTACATTGCATTGCATTACATTACGTTACGTTACATTACATTACATTATTTACATACATACATACATACATACATACATGCATACATACATACATACGTTACATTACATTACATTGCATTGCATTACATTACGTTACGGTTTGTTACATTACATTACATTACATTACATACATACATACATACATTACATACATTACATTACATACATACTTTACATATATACATTACATACATACATTACATGCATTACATTACATTACATTACATTCCATTACGTTACATTGCATTACATTACATTTACATTTACATTTACATTTACATTACATTACATTACATTACACACATTACATACATACATTACATACATTACATTACATTACATTACATTACATTACATTACGTCACATTACATTACATTACATACATACATACATTGAATACATTACATTACATTACATTCCATTACATTACGTTACATTACATACATACATACATACATTACATACATTACATTACATACATACATTACATACATACATGACATTACATTGCATTGCGTTACATTACGTTACGTTACATTACATTACATTATTTACATACATACATACATACATACATGCATACATACATACATACGTTACATTACATTACATTGCATTGCATTACATTACATTACATTACAATACAATACATTACATACATACATACATTACATACATTACATTACATACATACTTTACATACATACATTACATACATACATTACATGCATTACATTACATTACATTACATTACATTACATTACATTACATTACATTACATTACATTACATACATACATTACATTACATTACATTGCATTACATTACATTACATTACATACATACATACATGACGGTTTGCCAACATGTCTTTTCCGGTTTGGGTTGCTAAATCGTAATTCCTTGCGTGCGGCTTCTTGGCTGGTCTTTCAAACCATGGCTTACCTAAATAGCCTGAAACTCTGCATTTGATCTTTCATGTTTGAAGACGTAGCTGCGTAGCTAAGACCAGCAGTAAATGCTAGCGCGCGTCTATATGAAGTGGGTGCCGCTGCTAGTTATTAGTGGGTGCGGCTGCTAATTTTTAGTGGTGGAACTAGAATATCTGCAGGGCTGTCACTGTTGATTTTTTCAACAAACAGGATAAACTACAAGTTCTCTGGTGGCGGCTGGGCCAAGGGTCAACCAAAACCGTTTTTTGAAACTTTTGCTGGCGCAATGCTAGCGCGGATCTAGCAGGTAAAATTACGTACAAATTTGCAAAATTGAGCCACAACCGGAAATTGTTGAGTAGCAAAGAAATTCACTAAGACATCCTTAGGTTTAAGGAGCTAAGTTACATCCTGACTGTTCTTCATGTTGAAAAACAAGCAAACAGGACACACAAAAAGAATTCTTGAACATGGGTGTTGAAAAAAACTAGCGCAAACCTAGCGGGTTTGCTAGCCCTGCCTTGCAGGATTGGTGAATGTAGTTGCGTGCCGCCTGACAACGAAGAGGAAAACCACTAGGTCCACACCAATTAACAACAACTAGTACTAAATGCCTGTCAGCTATTTGTGGCAAAGGGTCACATACATACATACATACATACATACATACATTACATTACATTACATTGCATTACATTACATTTACATTTACATTTACATTTACATTTACATTTACATTACATTACATTACACACATTACATACATACATTACATACATTACATTACATTACACTACACTACATTACATTACATTACATTACCATACATACATACATACATACATACATACATACATACATACATACATACATACATACATACATTACATACATTACATACATTACATACATTACATACATTACATTACATTACATTACATTACATTACATTACATTACTTACATGCATACATTACATTACATTACACTACACTACATTATATTACATTACATTACATTACACTACATACATACATACATACATACACACATCACATACATTACATAAATTACATACATTACATACATTACATACATTACCTTGCCTTGCCTTGCCTTACCTTACATTACATTACATTACACACATACATACATACAAACATAAATACATTACATTACATTACGTTACGTTACGTTGCGTTACGTTACACTACATTACATTACATTACATTACATACATACATACATACATATATTTGTTCAAGCCCCGACCAACTTGCTGAAAGTTGGTCACAGTCAAATGCTGATTGTGGTACGGAGGCCCGGCAGCTGCTGATGGCTGGGCATCTTGCGGAAAGAAAACGAGGTCACCGGATCTGCCAAACAGAGTAACAGCCCGCGGTCTACACATGACCACAGCAAGGGAAAATCGTGCCTCGGAGAGTGAAAAAAGGACCTCCCAAATGGTGGGCTGTGTCCTCAAGTCAGCTAGGGTCACCACCGTCACTTCCGGTCCAAGCTAGACAAATCAGCTGCATCCAATTGTTACAAGATCTTGCAAGCTGTGGCAGCTATGGTGAGCTGATGAATTGCAAGAGGAAACCTCTCGGATCCCCGAAGCGAAGTTTCCCGGCAGCTTCACCCGCCTCTCAGCTGCGCAGATGCGCAGATAGTAGTGCCATGGTGTGACACTATGTGTGACCAAACTTGCAGCCAGCGGCTTTGCTCGAAAAAGGGTGAAGAAAAACACCACTATCACCGTGACAATAATCACAACAAATACTTCAAGCAGCTCCCAGCAGGAGCAGCTTCTGCCACTTTTCATGACTCTTCGGCCAAGCTCATCAAAATGAGCAATTATCGCCGCCTTGTCTGCCTTAGCTTGTCGAAGGAAGTTTGGAAGTCAAACTTCCGACAATATGCACAGATGAAAAGCAGAGATGGGAAGAGTCAGCGAAGAGAAGAGAAGAGAAGAGAAGAAAGAAGATCAAAAAAGAGAAAGTCTCAGAAGAAAGAAGATCCAGGTGCGCAAAAAGGTAGGAAAGTCGTCGCAAAACGCTGTGTTTTACGAGTGATTTGTGGCTCTGGAGGGTCGGAAAGTAGGCTCGCTAAAGCGGCGGGTCCGGAGCCATGTGGTCAGATGAGAGGTGAAAAGTTGCACGCCGTCGTGGCGCGAAGCACATTTCCAAGGCAAAATGTGCAAAGCATGTCATGTTCGGACCACTTTTGGAAGTTGAGATGTCGAAAAAGTGCACGCTGTTGTGGCGCGAAACACATTTCCAAGTCAAAATTGCACAAAACACCTCAGTGTCGGACCACTTTTGGAAGATGACATGTCGACAAAGTGCACGCCGTTGTGGTGCGAAGCACATTTCGAAGTCAAAAGTTTAAAAAACTAACGAGTTCGGAGCACTTTTGGAAGTTGAGATGTTGAAAGTGCACGCCGTTGTGGCGCGAAGCACATTTCGAAGTCAAATGTGTAAAAAACTGACGGGTTGGGAGCACTTTTTGACGTTCAGATGTCGTTTTGCGTGGTAGGCGCGAAGGATTCTGCACGTTGCCAGAAGTGAGCAAAACGTGAGGGTTTTGTAGCATTACACTACACTACACTCCACTATCCTACAGCTACAACTACCACTACACCTACACTACATTCCACTACACGACACTACATTACACTACACTCCACTACACTACACTCCATTACACTACACTACATTACACTACACTACAGACACTACACTACATTACACTACACTACATTACACTACACTACACTACATACACTACACTAACTACAACTACAACTATGCTACATTACACTACGCTACACTACACTACACTACACTAATTACACTACGCTACACTCCACTCCACTACGCTACACCTACACCTACAACTACAACTGCAACTTCAACTACAAGTACACTACATTACATTACACTGCACTAATTACGTTACGCTACACTACATTACACCACATTACACTAGCTACAACTACAACTAAAGCGACAACTACAACTACAATACATTGCAGTACATAACACTACACCACACTACAACTACACTACACTAATTACATTACACTACGCCACACTACACCACACCACACTACACTACACCACACCACACTACACTACACTACACTCAATTACACTACGCTACACTACCCTACCCTACATTTCATTACATTACACTACACTCATTACACCACCACAAATGCAGCTGCAACTACACTACACTAATTACACTACACCACAACTACAACTCCACTACACTACAACTACAACTACAGCTGCACTACACCACACTACATCCAGCAGTTGTGGGTGAGGTGACCGACCAGGTGACCACTGCAACCATTGCAACCACTCCAAAAAACACAGCTCTAACCACCTTTCGGTCCATCAGTGGATTCGCTCTGCCATCCGTGATTCATAACAACCAACCTCTCCTATAGGTTTCCTATTTTTGAAACTTCCGCCACCGCCTTGTGCGGTACTACTGGTATGTTGAGGTACGAGTAAAACAAACACGAAGGGATGCAGTAGTCGACTGTAATAGAATGCAATCGAATGTACTCGAAATCACCAAAAGGCAGGCTACAGTACTGCTGCCCGGAAACAATTCTTCCAATTTCTTCCAAGTTCTTCGATTTGATGCGCCTAAAGTATTTGCAAGGCAACGGCTAAGGCCAGGGCAGGCAATGGGTCATTGCAAGTTGCAGCCCTTACAAACTCATCTGCAGATGGTCGTGGCCAAAGGTCAAAGGAAGCTTGATGGACGACGCTATCGGCAAGACCTCACGGGATGCAACTCCTGCTTCCAACCCCGAGGTTCCATCAATCTCCATGTCATGAAATTTCCATCAATTTCCATGGTCCTTCCCAGTGGACTTGCCAGAATTGCAAACTTGGCCTTCAGCGTTGCCATCCTCGAAAACGCCAGGGAAATTATCTTCGGCATGCCTCACATGAGCCCCAAGAACATGCTCCCACTCTCGTCGAAAAGACTCCTGGCATGAGGGCTCAAACTGGCTTCAACTCCTATCTCAACAACTCGCTGAGTAGCTGTGGGGCATGCGTCAAATCTTGGCAATCAAATGCAAACAATCAAAATCAGTGTCAAATAGATCAAATAGATTCAGTCCTCAAACTGACTGAGCAAACCAGCATCAGCAAGGGAAGGTTTCCACTCTGCCATGCTTGCACGCGGATATACATCCGCCTTGACTGCCTCCAACTCGTCTTCGGTGACTTCAGTAGGAATTCGTGGAATCCCCGCGTCCAGAAGGGTCTTCCGCGCCATGGCAACCATCAGCTGTGCCTTGAGGGTCATCAACATATGATTTGCCACTGCGTTCATGTCTGCTGACACATAGTGCCAGGACAGCTCCCATCTTTTGCCAAGAACCTCCCGCCACTTCAAATGGAGAGGTGCCACACTTGCATGCAGAAAGGAAAAAAAGCCAACCTGCTGCCAAAAACGTCCAGCTTCTACGAACTTCTCCATATGAGCCAGATCGTGGAGCAGCATTTCCAAGCAGTCACGGTGACCAAAAATCTGTGTAAGCATCTTCGAAGAGATCAATGCGCTAACACACCTGGACCCTTCAGCTTGCATGGCAAGAAGTTCCTCAGGACTGGGTATGCGAAACATCAGCCTCAGGGGCCGCAATCCAAAATAAAAGCTATCTATACATAGAGCGACATGGTCCGGAATCTTGTGCAAACGGGCTTTCATCCAAAAATCGCGGACAGTGGCAGACTCTCGATGCAAATGAAGGCGAGCAAGCGCACGGTCACTGATCACATCGCATCCGAGAATTTGTTGAACCTGAAGATCACCTAGTGATGCCGAGTCGTAAGGCGATTCATGAGACACTTCAACGAAAGACTCGTTCGGCTGCCTAATGCCAGATACTGTTCTTTCTGGCCCATGTCGAAGAGATAACGTGATAAGGATGTACGAAACGCAAACATCCGGCGCAGATAAAATCTTCTTCGCGAAAAAATCCTTGAGGGCTTCCAACTTTGGGAGGAGGTGAGGTGCCTCTGACAAAGCCCTCTCTTGGAGAAGCGAGGCGCTGCTTTTCACCATGCTGAATTGTCAGCCATTGTCAGCCTACATGCAAGGGCCCCTTCTGCCCGCTATTGTGATTTATGAGGATTTATGAGGATTTATCATGATTTATCATGATTTATCATGATTTCTCATGATTTATCATGATTTCTCATGATTTATCATGATTTATCATGATTTTGTGTATTTAGTGGTGAGTATTGCGTAGTCAGGTTCCGCCAGGTTAGCGGCTGGTTTGACAAGAACATCTGACCCAAATACATGTCGTACATGTCATACCTTGCTTCAGTGAGCTTCATTGATTTTGATTTATCTTCATTTATCTTCATTTATCTTCATCCTCACATTGTGCCTCTGTGTTGTTATTTGCAATGCTGCTCTTTGGCCACCATCAAGCCAAGGCGGCCACAGCCAAGCACATACTTGGTGATGTCAACCATGTGCACATCTCTCTCTCTCTCTCTCTGTGTTATCGATTCCAAAACACTGTGATCCAAGTGTTGCAACTGCTAAAGTAAATCACCCAGATCGATCTATCATAGATTCATATTGTAATGTCAGCAATCTTCAGCGTGCCTGCGCATAGAAAACTCCAACATGGTACTCACCAACATGGGTATGCGGCCTGTCCATGAACACGGCTGATGCAGGTGAAAGAGGAACTGCTACAAAGTCGCTACAAGAATTCCAAGATGTTCTAAGGGAAGGACCCGTGGAACTCACCAGGGCCGTGCACGGCCTCCAGCAGTGTATCATTGTGCTAGAAATTGTTGGCTGTATGCTGCTGTATCGGCTTCGGCTTCTATGTGTGGTCGCTGAGCCAAGTACGGCCCAATTGAAGATGCTGTAATTCAGGTTCTTGGCTGCTTCTGGTGCCTCACTCATTCACTCTTTCCATAGTTCACCCTTCCTGACGCATCCTGAAACATCCTGAAGCAGTGAAGCAAACGTCTGGTCGCTGAGGATTTGACGAGCCCGGAGCGAATAAGGTACCTGCACAGGTTCGTCTGTCTTCCTACTCTCTCTTTCAACTTTAAGGCGAGAGTTTATTGATGTTTATTGTGGCATGAATAAGGATGCCATGAGCTTTCAAGCGCAATGGATAGATCGGCTCTCTGGTCGTTGCCCCGTCAGTTTTTTTTGCCCACAGCTGCCCGCAGCAACCCCACAATAGCGTCGGGCATCACAGAGTCAAGCGCCATCTGTCAGGCACTTAAGATCTAGGAATCTAGGGCTGATCGGCTGCAAATACCCACTTCGCACACAGATATGGTGATGTCTAATTTAAGTGCACATCACGAGATACAAACCCTCTCTTGTGCCAAATACTGCTACACATGGAAGCCAACAAATGCAGTGCTAGATTTAAGCTGGAGGCATGCAACTGAAGACCAGCATAAAGCGCAATGAGACGTTGCAGGACGTGGCTCTCAGTCCCCAAACAGCTGAATCCTTTGCTTGTCAATCTTCGAGCATCCAGATTCCTGAGCTTACCGGCTGATGTGCTGACAGGCCCCACAACAATCCACAACCAAAGAACCCTGCGCAAGCACTACGTATTATCCTGTGATACAGTAGCTGGACAAATTATTCAAACCGCACATCCATGAGTTGTAGGCTACCCCCTGTCCCCCCCAAATTTCAACGTTATCATTCCGTATCTTTGTTCCTGATCTTAGGGTTTGATTTACGTCCATTCGAAGGAGCGAACCAAGTCAAAAAAAAAACATTGTAATTGGGGGTGTGGGGGGTTATTGGATTACAAGGGTTTGAGTTTGAATAATTCGTCCATCTACGGTAGGACTAGGACTGATAAGAATCATAGAAAGGAAGGATCTCCCGCCAAGCTTCATCTTTATGAATCCGATAGAACCAATCGCACACTTGCAGCTGGGCAAGACGATTTACAAACACCTTCCAGCTGGGATTGACAAATGAAGCTGGGGATGTGCAGCATTGTGCGACCATACTTCCGGAGCAAATGATTTCAATTTCACACCTCATCGTGGGTAATAAGCACCAGCTGGAATCTTGATTGTGCTCGTCTGGCTTCAATAAGAGCAGCAAGGGCCTCAACACCCACGAGGGAAGTGCTGTGGAGATATGTGGGAGTGGCAAAGTCAGGAAACGCCAAAAGATCCAAAAGGCAAACTTGTGCGAACTTGCTGCATCTTGCTACAGCTGAACATGCCTCAGCCAATCCTCGAATGTTGGCAGCGTCCAAGTTTGTAGTTGGCTCGTCAAGTGCCAGAACGCCACCTCATCAGCTGCGCTTCTTGATGTCTCTTCACACATGGACAAGCAATGACAAGCAATAAGCACACCTGACCACAGAAAAGCGCAGACAGGTGACAATTCACACAAAAAGAATCTGCCAGTGCTAGACGGATGATGAGGGAGCAAAGCACGCGCTGTCCAGCACTGCATCGCCCACCTCAGTGACATCTCAACTCTCAACAGACTCAACAGATCATAGAACTTACCCACACTGGTTTGGTCTTTGGCATTTGGTAAAGGTTGCAGAAATACAAATACCATGAAATACCATGAAATACCATGAAAGACCCGCCCAAATCTGCAACTGCGCTGCTCACTAACAACATCTTGATAAGAGACAGGTTCAGACAGGCAACGCATGTCCAATTCAGCGTCGCCACAGACCATTACTACGCGGTAATTGTAGGATCGCCTTGGCCAGTGCATGACAAACGCATCACAAAAGAAAAGAAAATGTCTAGAATCAATTAGAATAATACATATTTGGCAATGTCTTGGCAAGAAATTGAGAGCTTGGCAAAGCCCTTCCAGTTGCACTTGAATCTACTGGACCTGCTTCTCCATCACCCTCTTCCGAATCTGACCTGTCGACTTCAGGCTGCACGAAGCCGTTCAACGAGTGCTCTACTTTGACTTGTTGAAAACATAGCCACGGACCTTACTGCTACATAGTCGATATCTCTTCCACGGTACACCTGAGAGCTCGTGGCAAGGGTGCAGTTCCATCATCTGCGATGGAAGCAGTAACATATTGTATCTCTTGCCAACTGCTTAAACAGAAAGCAGACTTAAAGCGTGTATGGCGTGTATCGCAGATTTGTAGACGGGAGACTCGCTGCCACAGCTCTTTGATGGTCTTGTTGATTTCCGCCATCTTGAGAGAATGGAATTTCATCAAGGCCTTGTCAAGTGCTGAATGGTAGCGGCCCAGGTCCTACAAACGCAGTTACTGATTTCGATTCCTGTGAATAAGTTGCAATGCTTTGCCAACAATCCCCATCTATGCTGCACAAATACTGTATTGTAAAGGCTTTCGTCCTTGGAAGCGAGGGCTGCAGATTCATGCCGAATGGTGGCTTCGCGGTGACGCTGTTCCACTCCTTTCTGCAGAGTCATGGGTACTACGAAGATTTCGGGACGGTTTTTGGATACTGAGAATGAAAGCTGTAAGTTGCATACGGTGTTCAATGAGACTTCCTACCTTGGAGGGTTGTGATTACTACCGTTTGTTCCTGGGTTATGTTCAAAACATACCGATCCACACGCATTTGTTTCAAGTTTCAAGTCTGATGAATTCGTTGAAGTCAATGCCTACCCTACCTTGGGGGTCCTGCATACAGCGGAGAAGCAAGCTCCAAATCAAGCGCTCTGATGCTTTCTCGTGTCTGGACAAGCTCACCTTCGCGAAAAGAACGCTGCTTCTGCAACTCTGTGCTCCTCAATCGGATTGTTGCCAGCTGCTGGCGTAAAGCTTCAACATCTCTGCCGCCCAAGTCTTTCAACAAAGTATCGATTTCTTGCTGGTGTTGCTGAGCTTCCACTTCAATCTTCTTGAGTCGGATGTTGGCCAGCAATGCCTCTCTCACAGCCTCCTTCTTCTTCCGTTTGTCTTCTGCGCCCTCGAGTCGTGCACGAAGGCCTTCAAGCTCCCGCTCCGATGATCTCACAGTGTTGTCAGCTGCTGCCAGCTTTGCCTTCAGTGCATCTGCATTCTCCACCCGGCCCTGCATCACATCAATTGACTTGCTGAGCTCAGTCAACGCATCCACTTCTCTCTGAAGATTGCGCACTTTTGCGTCCTGAATGTCCAAGTCGTGTCTGAAGCGTGTGACGTTCTGGGAGCGTTCATCGCGAAGCTGCTTGGCTCGAGCAAACGTGGAGTCTGCAGTAGCTCGTGCTCGTCGGGCAGCCTCGGTGCTTTCCTGTAACTCTACCTTTCGAACAGCCAATTCAGAGTCCACATCGGTTCTTCGAGCAACTTGGGATTGCAAAAGTTGCATGCGTCCTTTCTGCTCTGCAATCTGCGTTCGCAGCTGCTCCTGCTGCTTGGCAAGCAGATCTCTCTGCATTCGCACAGAGTCTTCCTCCTTTCCAAGTTCGACCAATTGTTCTTGAAGTGCTCGCAATTGGTCTCTTTCCGCCTACAGCCAGGTCCCGAACAATGAGTTTCTGTTCTCGTTTATGCCATATCAGGCAATATCATTGGTCAAAATTTGCCCGATGCATCATGTCAACTATACTCGGGCATCCCCTCAGTTTTTGGACGTTTTTGGACACGCCCAAATCCGGGATATCTGGGCTGCGGGAAGGTGGATGTGAAGAAGTAAATATCGATATTGTTATTCCTATTATTATCATTGTTGAAATAATAATTATCAATCATTATTATTAGTGGTAGTGGTAGTGATAGTGGTAGTGGTAGTGGTAGTAGTAGTAGTGGTAGTAGTAGTAGTAGTAGTAGTAGTACTAGTATTATTATTGTTGATATATACATGTCCTTCAAATCTTGTACCATGCGAGCACAGGTGCTACGTCAAAACATGTCAAAACCAAGTACAGAGACAAAACTGAAGAAAATGAAACCTTCACTTACGCCTTACGCACTTTAGGTTTTCTTTCGTTCCTTGGAATTGGCCTTAACCAATCCAATGTGGACCTTGTCAGCCATTGTGACGCAATCCTGACATGAAATTGTCATGCCATTTGCATTGTTAATTTTGAAATTGTCAAGTTCTTGGCAGGTGCGGCCCGCCAAAAAAACTGAAAGACGACTGAAACTTGATGAATGTTTGGCCATGTCGGATTGAACCCCCCAGATTTCCGAGCCTGCAGTGAAACGTTGGAGTTGGCACCGAGAAGCCTGGCTTCTTTGCTTCGCACAGCACCTCGCAACTCCTCCACAGAGTTGAAGAGTCGCCTAAGCGCATGGCCAAGGCTGGCCTCCACGACACAAATCATAGCGATATATTTTTATTTTGTGATATTTATTTGTCTATTTATTTATCTATTTATTTATCTATTTATCTATAGTCTAAATATTTATCTCTTCAGTCATTTATTTATCCATACATTTATGTATTCATCTTTACTTGACTCTATCAGCTGGTGTGACCTGCTGACCCCCCGTTTCGACACGTGTGCCAGGTGCTACTTTGAGCTCGGTTACTGCAAAGCAGAAGCTTCAGGGCGCAATTCATGAAGTGCTTTGACCTGACATCGGCAACTCATCTCATAAGTGCTTATGTACAACCTGAGCCAATCTTGAGGGCCCAAGTGTTGGGCCGGCTTGGGCCGGATTGGGCCGGAGTTATGAGCAAAGCTTAGATGAAGTTGGCATGCGAAAGATCGACTTTGTCTCTGTCTTTGTGCAAATCTGCTCTGTATGCGTATGTGCAGACCATTATTGCATGTGCACCAGTTACAGTTTGTGTGCAAGATCAAATTAATGCAATGCAGGATCACGTAGTCCCATCATCTGGTGCAAACCACAAATAAAATATGACTAGCCACCCAAGTGACGAAATCATGTTTGTGTCTCCATCTATGGATGAGTAGACTACACTGCATGGTGTGTGGCAATGATTGCAGAATATAATGTAAGACTATGACAATCAAATATGCATGACGAACAAATTGTATGCAGGTTGTTGCGTATTCGGCGCAGGGTTGCAGCCGGAGCAGCTCGTTCTTCCAATCGTCTGCGTTCTCGCTCCTCTGGCTCCAACAGTCTCTGCAAGGATCCTCAATATGATAGAGTGCTTCAAAGCACCCTAGGAAGCAATTCACATCCGGTCAAAGCCAATGAAAATGACACCCTACATTACTCAGCTAATTATTTTGTATTATACAAGGCATTAAAATGATTATATCCGATGTCCAAGTCCGGCACTCTCTTCTTCCATGGCTGGTTGCAGCTCTTTCTGGCGCCGTGGAACTTCATCCTTGCGCAACTGCTCCAAGCGGTCCCAGCGAGGACGCTGAGACTCCAAAGCCGTCTCTTGGGATTGGACTTCATTGAGCTTTTGATGGCTAGACTCCAAGAAGCCTGGGATCTTCGCTATCAACTTCTCCATGGCATCTTCAAAAGTCGCGATGTCCCCATCTCCACAGAATGCTCGTTTGCAAAACTGGCAAATGTTTTTGGAGCGGGACTTCTCACAGAACTTTTCGTACATGTGTTTGGCACTCTCTGTCATGGACACGTCTTTGCGAGCGAGCTCAATCTGTTGCTTCACGTCTTGCAGGCGAGCCTTGAATTCACTTGCTGCGCTGCTGTGACTGGCTCCTGAGGTTGCTGAAGGCACTCCAAGTTCTGCAGCAATCCGGCCATCTTCTTGTTGGAGTCTCTGAAGCTCAGCTTCAGCTGCGGCTTTCTTTGCAACAGCAACACCAATGCGATTTTGCATGTCTTGGCACTTTTTGGTTTGTTGCTGAAGGAGGGACTGCGAATCCTGCAGGGCAGCAACAACCTTGGCTTCTGCTTCAGCAGCTTCAGGCATCTGTCCCAGCAAAGGCACCAGCCCTGCTCGCAAATCTCCAACTTTTTTGCCAAGATCTCCTTCTGCTTCTCGTAAGCGTTGTCGCAAAGCATCCACCTCAATTCAGAACTGATTCAATACCTTCAAACCTGTGGGTGGATGATGGATGCCCCGGGGTGGAGCTAGAATCCCTCACAACAACAGACAACAGCCTGGGCATGTCGTATAGCGAACAGAAGTCACACGGGGAATTTCACAACTAGCGGGTCTGGGTCGCGTAACTCTCTCAGCACGTTTGATCTTGCTTGGACATGTTTGGCCAAAGTCTGATGGCGACGTATGGACCAACCAAACGGAAGTACATGAGGTGTCAATTCAAGTAACATCAGCAAAACAGAAACAGCAACGAAATACAATCGAGGCACTTCTGCATGTACACTGCTCTGCGCTTCTAGCTGTGCAACCTCGCTGCTCTTGCGAGACAAGGAGTACTGCAAGTCGTGTCTGCGCCTTCCAATTTCTTCTTGCCGTGCTTCAAGGCGCCGAAGTCGCGCATCATTTCCTTCTGCGCTCAATGCAGCCTCGTTTTCTCGCAAACCGCGAACCAAAGCATCCAAATCTGGTGCTGCTCGGGCCAAGGTTTTGGCTTCTTCCTCCAATCGTGAGATGGCTTTTGTCGCATCTTGGATTCTGGATTCATGCTTGGAGGCTTCGAGTGAGGCCTCTTGCAAGGCACGCTCCGTCGCAGCAATGCTTTCTTCAGCCTGGGAGTCTCGCTGCCTTTGCTCTCGCTCTGCTTGAGCAAACTTGGCCGCTTCTGAGTCTAGTTTGGCACGAAGGGCTTCAACCGACGGTTCCTTTGCTTGCTGCAAACGGCTTTTCAGGTCAGCCTTGCGAGATGTTAAGAGTTCAGCAGCCGCAACTGTCTCTCCCATATCTTCACGTAGCTGACGTGCTGCATTCACAGCTGCGTGATAGACAGATTCACCCTTGGCCAATTCCGCTCTGGCCTGTTTCACTTGCTGATCACTTTGCACGAGCACACGCTCATTGAATTGCCTGGACTGCTCCTCCAGTTCAGCAAGGGACTCCCTAAAAATGTCTTGCCCTCTTTGCTTCATGGCATCAGAGGTTTCCTGCTTCTCCTTCTGACACCTACCTATCAAACCTTTCAGCTCAGCTACACGGATGCCACAACTTTCATATTGTGCTAAATCTAGCTCTGCCTTCTGCAGTTCGTCGTTGATTCCACCAAGTTTTGAATCCAAGGTCTCCAGCTCGGCCGAAAGTTCTTTGGCAATCCGTTCCCGGTCTTCTTTTTGGCCACCGAGCTTCCGAGCTTGATCAAGATGGGCCTGAGACAAGTCTGCATCAGCTTTGCGATCCCGGGTAGTTTTGGTCCAATCACGTTGCACTTCTTTGATGTTTTGCAGAGCATTGGTGTATCGTGTTGCTCCAAATATGTCATCGAAGCGCTTCTTGACACTGCCAGCATCTTGCAAAGGCCATGACGACTCTTCCTGGTGACAGAAAATCACATTCTCAAGTACAGCACGGGACACGCCCATGAGTTCTGGTACTTGTGTATCCATGTCCGCGCATCTGTGGCTGAGGCTTGCTTTGCTTCCATCATCTGCAGTGGTCCGCAAAACACTTTCCAAGGCTTTGAAGGTTGGCTTCAAGCGGCCAGCGACTCTGCGATTGCTCAGTTGGTAGGAGCGAATGGCACAGATTTCCCGGTTCATGTCGACGCCTGCTTTGAAAAGCATTCGGATCTGGCCTTTTACCTCTGGAAGTCTGGCAATCTGAGGGTCATGAACAAAGCCATGTCCATTCTTGGCATTGGGAGGTAAGATTCCGGCTGAGGCCACTTTGAGACACTCAATGATTGTCGTCTTTCCAGAGCCGTTTGGGCCCACGATGAGTGTCAGGGGCTTCTCAAATTCGATGATTTCCATCCGCTCATGGTTGAAGCTCCTTATGCCTTGAATGCCAAGCTTCGAGATGGTCGTCATGGCCAGATGAGGAAGTGCTAGGAACTGCTCAATCACATGCTACGCTATGCCACACTTGTATTTACGTTGCACTCAAGCTGTCAAGTTGGACGAGGTAAGTGCTGCAAGCCTACGCATGTAGAGGCTGCAAGATGCTGGAAAACTTGAATTTCTATGAATTTCTCACGATGTGAGACCTGGTGGTTGGTTCTGACAGGCTGTCATCTCATTCATCCTGCTTCACTGTCTATGTACTGGGACTTTTGGATTTTCCACCCAAAATCCCAAACCTGAGCCACTCCTTGCAAACACAAGTCAACAACCAGCGGAACTTCTGCTGGGAAAGGGCTGAGGCAAGAAACCCTGTGTCAGAGCACGCCCTTTTGAACCGCCGCAGGGTTTGCAAAGCAGTTCACTCTGTGTTGAGATTTGGCCAGCCTAAGCAGTCGCCCACGCTGATTGCCGGTCTTCCACCAAAATTCTTCTCAACATGACCCCACCTCCTTTTCGCAACCTGCCAGCGCAGCTTCTTGCAGCTGGATCCTTGCAAACAAATGATATGAGCATGTTTGATCATTTTTGCCCACAGATCCGACGGTCAGTAGCCACTGTATGGAACTGGACTGCGGTAAATGCTCTTCACAAAATTCTGATCTCAGGACTCTTGCTGCATTGCAATGCCGGGACTCAGCCAATTGAGAAACGGCTCTTTGTCGGTCGTGGACACCATGCCTCACACAACATCCATTGAGTAATTACACTCCTGTGCTGCACTTTGGGCGCAAAAACGTGTGGCATGATTTTAGACGGAGTTGCGTACGACTCGTTGCAAGAATGGGTCCATGGTCCATCTGAGGAACTAAAAAATGCAACATCAAGCGGTGTAACTGCTTCATACTGCTTCTACAATCAATGCCTGAGGCCAGTGGGCCACCCCTCTCTCTCACTCTCTCCCTATCTAGGTGTGTCTGCGTGTGTGCTTGTGCGTGTTTGATCGTGTTTGTGCATCTGCTTCCCCACATCTGTGGACTTTCTCTGTTGTTTCCCTCCCTCCTTAGGAAGTTGTTCAGGATCCTTCCCGTGGCCTTTCTGCATGCAGGTGCCATGGCTGCTTGAATTCCCAAGCTGAAGATGCAGGATCCTCCACAGTCCCTGGGGTCACATTCCAGTGTCATAAAACTTCGGCACTTAGTAAGATTTTGACGATCTGGCAGAACTGTTTCAGCGGACAGGTCTCCATGTTGATTGTTTCAAGAACACTGGAAACATGGAAACATGGAAACATGCAAGATTCTCACAGAACAACGCACCAAGGCCGGGGTGCCAGAAGCTCTGATCGAAGAACCACAGAGCTCAAGCAAAGCAACTTTAGCTTCGCTACATTTCCTGACTTCAAACGTGGCTAAACTCAGCAAAACCTATGCAGCCTATGCACATTGCAAGGTGAGACGTTCAAACAAGCAACTAACACAAGCAACTACTGCAACACACGGATACACAAGGCATGCTTTGTCAGTCCTTTCTGGCGAACCAGCTCGAGTTACCTATCCATGGAGACAGAGCGTGCTGCTGATGAACTTTGGATCACTTTGCACCGAGAGACTGAGGATAGCCCATGATCCAACCATTAGAGCTGAGAAGATCCGGATTGATGATCAAACATCTCGACTGCAAGTTCTGTACAACTTACTCACTTTGCCGAACTTACTCTGCTGCAACCACAGCAGCATCAAAGGATTCCCTGGAAAATTGTAGTTTGGTTTTGACTTGACCGATGTCCATACAATTATTAGTAGGCTGATGAAAAGAGTCTGTTCCAACTCACTTCGTATCCTCCAGCCTTCCATCTTTCAGCTGAGTGTGGTCGAGCAGCAGGCGATGACGCAGGCGAGTCATCTTTAAAAATTGCCCTGTAGCAGCATCAGCAGATATCAGCAGCACACTCCACTCCGTGTGTCTCTCCCCTCGCTCTTAGACTTCCATAGAAAAACGACCCCTTCTGAGTCAGAACTTCTGTCAGAAATGTCGGGAATCATTATACCACGCCGGTCTCTCCTCCACCTGGATGGCATGTCTGAAGGCCTTTGCGAAAGTGGTGCATCTGACACCGTTTGTTCTCCGTCAGGTCGTAATTGCAAGGTCTCTTGCACTTGACCCTTTGGAAGCGTACTTCTGCCAACACGCCTAAGAGGGGGGTCAAGATTGAGTCAAGAAGTCAAATTGGACAGGACGCTGGACTCATCACGGAATGGTCTCGACAGATCTGACTCTTTTCTTACACCGCATCTTTGAAAGTTTTGCAGTCAAGTAACCGAACATGCGGTGTGACCTTCGCCGCAGTTGCAGGGACAGTTGGCTGTGATGGTTGTGAAGTCTTGAAGTGAACCTTGCCCGTGCAGCACCGTGCGCCAGCCCATCTTGGGTCTCATGTAATGAGATTCTGCCCAGCATGAAGCACTTTGAACACATCCATCTTGCACGTGGTTTATGTGAACGTTTATGATGTTTCCTCTCAGCTGCTGCCAGCACATTGTTCTTGTGAGTGATGGGGTCATAGAGTCATGGCATTCAGCTTTGTGAGAAGTCGGGAAAAGCAGGACGAAAAGCATGACATGTGTCCTTGTGGCCTTGCAAGTGTTTGCAATTGAAAGCATCCATAGCATCCCAATGCATCGCAGCCACAGAGACTTTGCTGAGCATTTTTGACTTCTTGTCAACCTCGTCGTTCACGATAGTCACGTGCATCCTTAGCGGAACTCAAGGTGCACAACGAGGTGCACAACTAAGTGCCGTTTCACAGCTGTGGCAAGCAGTGACCAGGGTCTTGGCTCCTCGGCTGCACCTCCACAACACGCTTTTGCAGAGGCAGAAGAAGTGCATGAGTCATCTACCAGATATGTATATATATATATACGCCCATTTACGTAATATCACGTTACTTTACGTTAGTTGCATTTGTGACTCTGCACGCAAAATTGCCTCTTTCTGGGTGATCTTTCTGTGGGTCAGGATCTGTTCGCACAGACGAAGCAGGTCCAGAGAGAATTCGAGTGACCTGCAGGGCGCAGTTTTCTCTCGTTTGAATCTGAGATGAAACAAGAAGCACTGGGAGAGCCTTCTGTGCTGCAGGTGTTCGGGGTCGTGCAACTTTGGGTGGACTGTGTCCTGGAGTCTGCATGATTTCATGTCCACATCAATGAAACAATATGAAAATAAATGTCATCTAAGAAAAGTCAGAGGTACAGAATCATTCAGAGCTAGAAAGAGAAAAGCAAGGAAATTAATTTGGAGCGGTGACAGTTGTGCTGGTGTTGTGAGCCTCTGCGTGCTTCTGTGCCATCTTCTCGCTCCACACAGTCCTGTGTCTGCATGCAAGACACAAAGTGTTCCAAAAAAAGAGTTGTTTCAAGATTAAATTACATAATCATCTCGCCTATCGTGCAATCTCCTCCTTTGCCTCTCTTTCTGCCTATTTGCTCCCTTGGTCTTTGTTTTAACTAGTTATCTCATATCTTCATCCGTCCCTTCAACATTCATCTTGGTCGTCCAGCCCACCTTGAAGCTTTGAACTGGAGGTCGTTCTGCCTGGGGTAGGTCCGCTGCTAGGTGGTTCCACAAGTCTTTCCCCTTCTTTTCTCAACCCCTTTACCCCGTTGAAACTACGAGGTCAACATCCTGAAGCCCTCCAAAGCCAGGGACCTCCTGGTTGACATTCTAAGGGGAGTGCGTGACCCTGTTCAGCCACGCGTTGCGAAGGTTCAACAACTCTTCAAGGATCGATTTTTTCTTCAAACATATTCCTTTTGCGAGTCTTATGCTGAGTTGGTCCAAGTTGCATCTGAGAAACGTCCTGGAATGTCAGGCAAAGTAACGTGCGAAAGTTTTGTTTCCGCCACCTCAAGACAGCTGGCGCACTGCTCGTGATACAAATTGAAACGCTTCGAAAAGTCCGGTTGCATGCGTTAGTTAGATAGATTCGATTAAGATAGAATAGATTAGATTAGATTCGATTAGCTTAGATTACATTAGATCGGATTGGATTAGACTAGATTGTATAGGTTAGACGGTTGGATTATGTTAGATTAGATTATATAGATAGGTAGATAGAAGGATAGATTAGATAGATTGATTAGATAGATTTCGTAGATCAGATAGATTGATTGGATACATAGGATAGATAGGATACATAGGATAGATAGGATAGATAAGATGGATAGGATACGTAAGATACATAGGATAGATAGGATAGATAAGATAGATAGGAATATAGATAGGAATCGGATGGAATCGGAATATAGATAGATAGATAGATAGATAGATAAATAGATAGATAGATTAGATTAGATTAGATTAGGTTAGATTAGATTAGATTAGATAAGATTAGATTAGATTAGATTAGATAGATTAGATAGATAGATTAGATAGATTAGATAGATTAGATAGATTAGATAGATTAGATAGATTAGATAGATTAGATAGATTAGATAGGTTAGATAGGTTAGATAGATAGATAGATAGGTAGATAGATAGAATTAGATTAGATTAGATTAGATTAAGATTAAGATTAAGATTTAGATTTAGATTTAGATTAGATTAGATAGATAGATAAGATAGATAAGATAGATTAGATAGATAAGATAGATAAGATAGATAAGATAGATAAGATAGATAAGATAGATAAGATAGATAAGATAGATAAGATAGATAAGATAGATAAGATAGATAAGATAGATAAGATAGATAAGATAGATAAGATGGATAAGATGGATAAGATAGATAAGATGGATAAGATAGATAAGATAGATAAGATAGATAAGATAGATAAGATAGATAAGATAGATAAGATAGATAAGATAGATAAGATAGATAGATAGATAGATAGATAGATAGATAGATAGATAGATAGATAGATAGATAGATAGATTAGATAAATTAGATAGATAGATTAGATAGATTAGATAGATTAGATAGATTAGATAGATTAGATAGATTAGATAGATTAGATAGATTAGATAGATTAGATAGATTAGATAGATTAGATAGATGAGATAGATGAGATAGATTAGATAGATTAGATAGATTAGATAGATTAGATAGATTAGATAGATTAGATAGATAAGATAGATTAGATAGATTAGATAGATAAGATAGATAAGATAGATAAGAGAGATAAGATAGATAAGGTAGATAAGATAGATTAGATAGATTAGATAGATAGATAGATTAGATAGATTAGGTAGATTAGATAGATTAGATAGATTAGATAGATTAGATAGATTAGATAGATTAGATAGATTAGATAGATTAGATAGATTAGATAGATTCGAGAGATTCGATAGATTCGATAGATTGGATAGATTGGATAGATTGGATAGATTGGAGAGATTAGATAGATTAGATAGATTAGATAGATTAGATAGATTAGATAGATTAGATAGATTAGATAGATTAGATAGATTAGATAGAGTAGATAGATTAGATAGATTAGATAGATTAGATAGAGTAGATAGAGTAGATAGAGTAGATAGAGTAGACAGATTAGAGAGATTAGACAGTTTAGATAGATTAGATAGATTAGATAGATTAGATAGATTAGATAGATTAGATAGATTAGATAGATTAGATAGATTAGATAGATTAGATAGATTAGATAGATTAGATAGATTAGATAGATTAGATAGATTAGAAAGATTAGATAGATTAGATAGATTAGATAGATAAGATGGATAAGATAGATAAGATCGATAAGAAAGATAAGATAGATAAGAAAGATAAGATAGATAAGAAAGATAAAATAGATAAGATAGATAAGATAGATAAGATAGATAAGATAGATAATATAGATAGATAGATAAGGATAAGATAGATAGATAGATTAGATACGATAGATAGATAGATAAGATAGATAAGATAGATAAGATAGATAAGATAGATAATATAGATAAGAGAGATAGATAGATAAGATAGATAAGATAGATAGATAGATAGATAGATAGATAGACAGATAGATAGACAGATAGATAGACAGATAAATAGACAGATAGATAGACAGATAGATAGATGGATAGATGGATAGATAGATGGATGGATAGATGGATAGATAGATAGATAGATAGATAGACAGATAAATAGACAGATAGATAGACAGATAGATAGATGGATAGATAGACAGACAGATGGATGGATGGATGGATAGATTGGATCGATTGGATGGATTGGATCGATTGGGTTCATTGGATAGATGGATAAGTGTTGTGTATGTGCAGTTATATATTTGCCTGCAATCTTGGGCCTCGCTGTTTAAGTTTTTCTTCTATCCTATGAGTCGAAACTTGAAATTGATGCCTCCACACACAGCTGGCTCACTTTGATAGTTCTGCACCAACCCTCAAGCTAGCAAAGCTCCACAAACGAGGTATAGTAGAAAGTGTTTTTGGTCTTGCCCCGAGAGTTTTGCAGGATGCACAATTGAAACAGAAAATGAAAGAAACTTGTTCCGAATCAGGCTTCTCTTTACCCGTATGCTTGCAATAAGAAATGCACACCAATTGAAATGCACGCCCCTGATTGCGTCCTAGGTGCATCCGGCGTCCTTAACAGGAGCTTGGAAATGAAACGGCCCACGTTCATGGAAATCGTGTTTGCGATGACTTGACAGCAAACGCAGGGAAAGAGAGGTATGCCGTTGTGATCATAGGTGACTAAAAGGACGGCGCAAAGAAAACACTCCTTTCGGACTGGGTCTTGATGAAGAAGAAGAAGATGATGATTATAATGAGGAGGAGGAGGAGGAGGATCATGATGGAGAGGAGGATGGGGATGGGGGACAATCATTGGATTATTGGAATGATGACGAGGATGTGGCTGTCGAGGATGAATTGTGATGGCTATGATGTATGCAAAATGTTCGCCCCCAAAACAGGAGCCATGCAATGCAGGGCCACAAATAAGAGACGTGATCCGGAGAGAGGTCTGCAGAGTTGGTTTCGACCAGCGAAACCCGAAACCCGAAACCGACTGTTAAAGTTGGTTTCGAACTGCGAAACCCGAAAGCCGAAACCCGAAACCGACTCTGAAGACTTAACTTCCCCAGGGCCGATCGAAACCCGAAACCCGAAACCCGAAACCCGAAACCCGAAACCCGAAACCCGAAACCGACTCTGAAGACTTAACTTCCCCAGGACCGATCGAAACCCGAAACCCGAAACCCGAAACCCGAAACCACACAGCCTCACATTCGACCCTACCATGAAAAAAATAAGCAACCCTTACATCCCTCTCTGACATCGCACAAGTTCTTGTGCCGGAAAGACAGCCAACCAGCTTGTGTGAGCTGTCAATCCCCATCTGTACAACTCCCTACCAAAAGGACGGCAACCCTTACAGCAAGAAAAAATTGGCCGTTCACAATCGACCCTACCTCAACTTTTGGTTGGGTAGGGTGGGGCGGGATGGTAGCGTACTTTCACACGCGCACTGGGTGGTGACGTCCAGTCACATCGGGTAAGGGTGCATGTAGTGTAGGTGAAGTTGATATAGATAATGTAGAGGATGTATGTGGTGTAGATGTAGATGATGCAAGGGTGTAATGCAGGCGAAGTTGATGTAGATGATCTAGGTGGTATAAAAGTTGTAGAAGATGTTGTGTAGATGACGTAGGGTCATCTTCTGCGTTCCAAAGCGATGGTTGAGATCACCTTCTAAAGGGATGGTCGGCTCCGCGTTCTGAAGCGAGGGCCTTACCGCTGGCGCTACCTTTCGTGATAAGATATCATTATATGTGCATATACATATATATATATATATGTGTGTGTACATCTATCCACAGACAACATATCATTATGTGAATTATGTGTGTGTGCGCGCGTGATGCCCACATAGGCGCATCAACTGTGCAAATCAATGCACATTAGTGCACATGCATTCCTCTTTGTGTGTGTGTGTGTGCGCGACTCTCTGCGTTTTGGGTCATCGAAAAATTGCCAGATCTTGAAACACTCTTCATAATTGCAAGGTTTAGAAAGCTGCTGTGTTCATCACAACGGCGCAGCTGAACATGAAGGACAGAATCTAGCACCTCCTGTGCTGCCACGCCCCTGGACCTAAAACCCTTCAACCTGCAAGCACTGCAGGCAAGCACTGCAGGCAAGCAACCGGGCTCTCACAGATGCTGCAACTGTCCGTACCTGCGCTGCACGCACCCGTGCTGCACGTTCTCAGGTCATCTTAGGTGTGGTTTGCACCTTCGACTGCGGTCTTCCAAACCCAAACCCTGCCTGGTGAATGACAGGCCGTTTGTCTGTCACCTGTCAGCAACCAATAGCCACCATTTCGACACCAACATGTGAAATGTCAGTGCCCAAAAGTTTCTACCGTAAACAATGTGCTCATCCAATCAGGTGCGGAACCGGATAGTTGGTCTCACGACTGTATGCATGGCAGTTTGAGGCTGGGGGCTGATGGAGCGAAAACGTCAACAATTTCGATGCTGGGTGAACAAGGGTGTCTTTGTTCAGGCAAGCTCTTGAGACCTGAAATGCATCTGTGAGAGTTTGGGAAGTTATTGTGCATTGAGGAAGGTCCTACAAAAATCTATTACAACTTCCGAAAGTCCAAACAGTTTGGAAACATATGGACGGATTGGGAGACGAATAAAGGGAGACTTTCAAGGAGCCGGATTCCATTCAATAATAAAACACCAGGATGGGCGTCTCTTAAAAAAATTGGGAACGCCCAATATCAAGGCAAGGTGTTTTGAAATGAAGGAAGGCAGACCCTCTCGAAGAGCCGACCACCATTGGAAGCAGTTCATAGGAGACAAATGAAATCAAACCCCCGAAGAGCCCGACACCAACAGTAAGAGAAACATATGAAAGGGTCATTGGGAGACAAATGAAGCCAGACCCTCTTGAAGAGCCGGACACTGCAAGTGACACAAGGATGGCCGCTTGAGAAAAGAAATAAGAACCTAACAGTCAACTGTGCGGCGAAAAATGCTGGTTCCGGGTAAAGGCGGAGACATGGGCTTTATACCAGCCGCGTACAGCAAACGGAAAATTCTGAGTCCAAGTAATCTAAGACTTCACCTAGATGAGCCAATGGTTCCCAAAAGGGAGAGAAGTGAAGAGAAACATCCGGAGAGCCGCACACCACCCGCCTGTCAAGAAAAGCTGCACTGCAGGGGTCAAAAGGCAACACGGAGGGCTCTCTCGAGTGGGGCAAGCACAAGGATTGGTAGCGCTGCTGTTCGATCAAGGGATTTGATCGCACCAGGTTGTTGTTCGCACAAGTTGCTGTGGTGGGTCATTTTTGCACCGCTGCTCCTCGCTCGCACAGAAGGGCTGCAAATTCTATATGCTCCAGCTACGCATTCTGCATTATCAAATGTCTGTCAAGCCGCAAAGTATATAGCCTTTTCCATCCGACTGAGCTCTGAATGAATAACAGCGCTCACCCATGACAGCCCTTGTCAACGCGCAACAAACTCCCCAACCGCGGTAGAGCACACAAACACAGGTCCACCTCAAAAGCCCTGCCGCAAGAAGTCTGAACAACTTTGGCAACACTTAACTGTAGGAACCTAGAAGTTTTTTAAGAAAATGAAGAACCGACTGACCGACTGCACATGTCGCTTCATGGCGGATACAATGCTGCAGGAATCCGACCACCAGCAAAAACATGATTTTGAAAGAAGGAGAGAATGCAAGCACCCAGCCATGACAACACGCGATTGAATGAAGCAAACCTTCCCAAGAATGCCGACCACACCTCCACGGCCACCGATGCAGGCAACCTTGTCATCGCCAGTGATGGTAGTTTTATTACAGTAGGTGATCATAAGTAACTCATGCAGGGTCCAACCAAGCCAAGGAACTCAATCTGAATTGTCGAACCTCCAGCGTTGGAGCCTCAGAATCTCTCAGAATGGGCCAAGAAAGAAGGAACTCCAGGGACTCCAAGGATCTGGCCTGTGACAGGAGGAACTCCAGGGCTATACCTTGTGACTGTGAGCTGGCAGAACTGAATAGAATGGCAATGAATGAAAAGCCGTCGTGCCAAAAGCGTTGTCAAAGCATTCACGATCAATCGCGTGAATCAAATAGAATTCAATATATTAGCATCACATCGCAGCCGAAGCACACGATAGGCCTTGTACCCTCCTGGACTGCGGAACCAGGCCTTCTGCGGCTCTTTGTTCGCAAAGGTGATGAACCTTGGGTTAATGGTAGAAAGGGAAGATCAGACTGAGAAGAAGCACCTGTAGAAAATGAGATACAAGTTCATACAAGTTTCAGAGTAGAGCTCTGTCTGGAGTCAGGGTAGCATGCTGCGCTTGGTCTACAGTGTCAGAGGCCAAGAGCGAAAGCACTAAATTATTTCAAGAGAACCAAGGTGTTGATGCCGCCTGCAAAGGCTATTGGTGATGGTCCCCGAGAAACCTTCTATTTGATGGTAGAAGCGATAGATAGGACACTGACGGCAATTAGCAGAGCATACACAAAGGAGCACATCAAAACAGCGAAGAAAAGTTTCCAATTTGCGTCTGGATCTGCTTTTCGCTGAGGTGTATATGATCCTCCGAATTAATCTCTCCAAGTTTACTGAAGGCTGAATCTCAACCAAGTAGCTGGGATCAGTTCCATCAGTAGGTGCAGCGAACATGGATTCATCACAAACTGGCGAAGAATCCTCAATTGGTGAACCCTCACCCACTACAGAATTACCTGTTGGCGAAGCCGCGCGAGAACTCGGGGAACCGCAGACTTGAAGATCAATCACGTGGAGCTGCGCGGATTTGTCCGTCTTGATAACGGGCCAGGGGCAGTCAGAGGGCTCAGTGTCGAAAGGTTCTTCGTCAGAATGTTGATTTGAACTGGCACCCGGCACTATTGACGATTCGCTCGTTCTTGTCCAACGCCGCAACATAGCTCGTGGATTTGGGGAGCCAAGCATGGCAGGCAGCAGCAAGTTGGGGTTGGGCTTGGAACAGCGCGGTGAAGGGGCCATTGAGTCATTCGAATCTTGCGGAGATCTTTCAGGGCTTTCTGACCTGCCAACATGTCAAAGACTGCTGCAGCATGTGCGTTGACATGCTCTAAATTCTGAGCATTTGGGCTCACAAAATATGTCTCTGTAAAGATTCGGTGTGCCGCGTGGATCACTTCTCCAGCCTCGCACGGTTTGCATCACCTGCAGCATGGAACGCAAGGGTGCACCGATGACTTGCAGGCAAGATTTAGTTTTGAAAGACAGCAAAAGTCAAGTCAAATTGAGATTCAAATTGCAGGAAAACGTCCCCTGCCTCCATGTGAAGAGTGCTCAACATGATGCCTCCAGGCCATTGATAAGCGACTTTTAGGATCTATGATGGGCAGCCATGTTTGTTTAAGTCAAAGAGCTAGCCATGACGATACGACATATTCGATAGAGAGAGAGAGAGAGGCAAAACATATCATATTGGTAGTCCATATGCACGTAGATCATCAAAGATCTATTCCCTCCAGCACCAAAAGACATGCTCAAAACACGCAATGACTTTGAATATGACTTGAAAATGGCTGAACAGGCAGTATCAGTAGCGGTAGCATGGCTGCATGGAGGGAAATCCTTTCAGGGCAGCAGCGCACATCTTGTCAAGCTGTGCTCTGAACAGGGCACCAGCCGTCGTTTCTCTATGCGCCGCGACGTGGAACGTGGAACGGCCAACACCCTGCCCTCCAAACATGCACCTCCCATGGGTCCAGCAACTATCCACACAGCCCGAGCAGCAAGAAGGCAATTTTCCCCCTTACTCGGTGGCATCGCTTTGTAATTCACTTCCCTTCTCGGTTTGTGCGCGCTCGAAGGCCCAATACTAATGTCTAAGTCTAAGTCTAACCTCGCTTTCGAATTCCTTAGCCTTGCGAAAACCGGAGGCTTGGGCAGAGATTCCCTCCATTTTTGCTCATCCACCCAGGGAGACAGAACGCATCCTAACGGCATCCTTGCCTGGACATGTCGTTCGTCGATGCGCGTCTTTCACCTCAGTCATGTGGCACTAAGGTGCTGAGGTTCATTTATTTACTTCTCTCTCTCTCTCCCCATCGCCATCTCGGGTAGACTTATTTACTTATCTATTATCTACTTATCTAGACTTGTTTGAACTGTTTGCAATACAGTACGGCGCATTATACGTTTCACTATTGATAGGTCCAAAAATACAGACAGAGAGAGAGAGAGAGATACCGCTGAGCGCGGCTGATTCATCTTAAAACGCCATATTGTCCCGTCTCGTCTGGATGCTTCGCACTCAGTTCTCAGCCGTTCCGCTTGATGAGCTTCTCCACTGCATCTCCAATCTTGCGGGAGTGCGACTGTATCAGGACGAAATGGATGTGAAGTCAACTTCAAAGCCATTCACGCCTTGGTCCCCTTCTGAGCGCTTCCACCTGTATTGCTTCAGCTTCTGAAGTTCCATTTGAACTTACAGTATGGATATGGAGGAATGGGTTGAGAATCAAAGTGCTACAATGCTACCAAGATGTCTGAGTGCGCCTCCTCTAATTGGGATCTTCACAGCTTTTCCAAACCTCAACTGTTAGACCGAATATATGGCGTGGATTTGAAGGGCAACCGCCCAGTGTGTATGAGCCCCATCAGCATACCGTTTCAAGGGCACAGGGCAGTGCAGTAGTTGAACAGCAGCTAAGGGCAGCAAGCGAATGTGATAATCCACTATCATTGTCGCAAATATCACAACGCACAAAAGAACAGGAATACTAAAAAAAAGAAATACCCGACTTCCAATGTTGGAGACAACAAGAATCATTGCTTACTGCATCACAGTAGCGCCACCACCACCCGATACCTTGCATGGCAAAGAGGCGGCGAAAGCTGCATTGCACTTCACCGATGAAATCTCATGACACCTGCTACATCCGCAGTCAAGAGGCTTAATTTCCTCCTCTGGCTCACTCTCAGCCACAAACTTGAAGGTCTTTTGCCTTAAATGCTTTCAGAGGTCGGCTGAGTCATGCTCTCACTCGCTGAAGTCCTTACCGAAAACTCGTGTCTTACTGCAGCCAGGCGGCCTCTTAGACTTTCTTGCCAAACGCCGTTGCAGTTTGCCTCGGGTTTAGCAGGCCTGCAGGTGGCCGCGCCACACAGCCTCCACGCCTTTCGTCAAATTACGAAGAGTGTGTTACTGACTGACCAAAGGACTTGGCGCTGACTTCTAACAGTTGGGCCGCATGACTTTTGGCTAAGCCACGCAGCTCCAAAACAGGCTTTTCATCCGCACTAGGATTTGAATCTGAGCCGTCATCATCATCCCCATTCCTTTCCTCGGTGGTTGAGGCAGGCTGCATGAATAACTGGCATCTTTGGGATAGGTAGGAGCAACATCTAATCTAATACCTTGCCACCGGATCATAGTTCACAAGGGCTTGAAGAAACCCAACCTACCCGTCGCATGATTAGCCTCACACAAAAATATCCTTCAAATCCAATCGCTGTTAAAAGCGAAGCTCAGGGCTACCCTGAGATATGTTGAGTCTGATGTCCACTCGTCCACCCGTTTCGACCTTCAAAGCTTGCCTCAGCCCTTGGATGGCCCTTCAGGATTCAAACATTCCCTTAGCCGCCTTAGCCCGCACACAGAAAGATTGGCTACAAATTGCTGGCACGAGTTGGCCTTCAGAACTATCCCCCCTGTCACCACCATCACCTAGGTGGTGCAAAGAGTCAGCTTTAAGCAACTCAAACTGCCCTAGCGCCACCAAGTGTCGTGGCCAACCCTGCCACTGAGAAGCTTGCTGAGCTCCCGCTGTGCAGCTTCTGCTTTCAATCGGTGGTAGTGGAGATGAGGCCTCCGCAAAAGCCAACGGGCCCGCCAAAAAAAGAGCTCAGCCCGATACATGCAAGCTTCAGAGAGCTTCACTGTATATATATATATGTATACCTATCATAGAATGTATATAGTTTAATGTACAGTAATGTGATGTGATGTGATGTGATGTGATGAAAATGTACAATATCTATAGCCTATAGCCTGCAGCCATCAAGAGTCTTTAGCGCATCTATAGCCCATAGCCATAGCCCAACTTCATTTTTGCGTTGCTCGATGGATTTCAGGATCTTTCAGGTTTCTCCCACATTAGGTCTTCTCTCTACAAAGGTGAACATGCCCCATCAAAATGCAAAGAGGTCTGAGAGCCGAGCCATTGTTTTGATTCCTTGTTGTGCAGTAAATTCAAAATACAAGCGCAACGGAGAAAAAAAGACTAGGCAAATCGTGCAAAATCAATATATACCGAAAGGCGGTCCCATCCAAAAAGCCATCAAGTGGTTGCTGATCTGCCGCTGGCACTTCCAATTGCCATACAGCACCTTGACAGCTTGCAAGTAGGGGAACTGACTGGTGAAGAAACTATTCGCGATCTTCATCATGTAATTCGGGAAGTGCTGCCAGGGCTCAAATCGCTCGCCCAATCGTAGGACCCGCAAGTTCCAAGCGTTTGGGATTGAATTCATTCGAAATGCTCTCAGGGTGCTCTTCTCCCATCTCCGAGGCTCTCCTCTTGTTTTGCTTGACCTTCTCCCTCAGACTCAGCGATGCTCAGCTGTCCCTTCCCCTTCCTCCTTTTGGTAGCTGGCAAGCGCTGTGCATGAGTCAGCCAGCTTATGCCTGTCGAAATGATAATGCAAGCGAGTAGCCTGGATTTTGCAGGCAGCTCCTGCAAACTGCAGTCAAAAGGTCAAAAATATGACCCCCTTGCGTTGAAACATGTTAAACACATAGAAATGAAATGATTGAAATGATTTTTCAAATGGTCACGAAGCACTGGTGGCTAGTGTCCTTGGAAGCACTTTGAGCCGCTTTCGGCGATGAGGCTCCGGACATCCTGCCCAGCTGGCGATCCGAAGCAGGTTGCAAATCAGCTCAAAGTGAAGCTGTGACAAATTGTGACAACTCACTGCTTGAACGCTTAACATTTGCAGTGTGCAATAGGCCATGCCTGGGGTTTGTAGGTCCATTGGGGCTTACTGGGCAGCTTGGTTGTCTGAGATGAGAAGGTCTGGGATTGACAGGACTGGCTTCTTTCGGGCTCTTCAAATCTTCTTCACTTCCACTCCGTGAGGTCATTTGCCGCAAGGATCTCCTGAATCTCACAAAGCTAACTCTTCAATTTTTGCACACATGCGCATTTATTCATATAATAAGTGTTTGATACGTTTCAAAACAGGTACCGCGCGGTTTTCTATGCACTGTGACAAACACCCCACGCCCCCAACACTATATAGATTTATAGTCTGCCTGGGAAGATACCTATAAAAGACCCCATGGTTGATCGCCCAACACTAGATTTATAGCAATCTCCTTGCTGTCCCTGGGAAGACCCTCCTAAGCAAAGTTAAAGCTTGAACAAGCCTGTCTGAGGTGGATCTCGTTATACATTTTTTCTGCACATTGATTGAGCAGGCCTCCGAAATGACTGTTGCACCTGCGCCAAATCCTCGGTAGTGTGATGAAGTGGAAGCTTTGCTCTGAAACTTAGGGGCAAGAGTCAGAGAACCAGCGGCTATGTATTGTAAACAAAAGGACTGCACATGTCTTTTGCACCAAGGATCAGATCTTGTGCCCTTTCCTCGGCACTTGCCAATGAAGCAGTGTGGTTGTATTATGTTGTGTCCAGTCCAGGAAGCCCTGCAGTGAAGCATTCTGCAATCTGAACAAAATCAGAGACCGATGCAGACCTGTAGCCAAGCTTCGCATTGCGGTGCCGCCCTTGCATTGAATCCAAGAAAAGCAACTGAAAAATGATAGAAATTGGTTGCAAGGATTCAAGGCCAGCATTTCGTTGCAGGCAAGCAGCAGCTGCTACAGATTCTCCTCCTTAGAAGATTGCTCGTCAATCGGGTCCGCAACTGGTTTACTTCTTGCTGCTTTTACGTTTTTTTTGCGGCAAACAATGCCCACAAAAAAGATTGCCAGGTGGCTCTCATGTGTAGCCTTGGCGGATGGCACCCAATCACGAAGCAACTCGCTAAAATGCTCTGCTTGCGTCTTGCAAAATCCACGAGGGGTGCAACAAAAATGTTCAGTGCATGAGTTTTCTGCTGTTTGGCTTGGGCTGATTCTCTGTTTGGGCTGCCCACCTTCAGCATGTCATCCAGAAACAGCAGGTCACAGCCAAGCAACAAACTGCTGCAACAAGACCGTCGCCGCCTCTTTGATCTGTTCTTGATGCTCTTCCAATGCAGATTTCTCCTCTTGCCCTTCCTGTGCTCCTCCTACCGCATCTGAGGCCTCGACAGCACAAATTAAGGATTCAACTATTCAACTGATTGAATAGGTCTACGCAGGAATGAAAGGTGGCATGATGCGTGGCATCTGGATTTCCGTTTTCAGACTCCTGTTTCAAAATTTCTCGAGGCAAGATTACGGAGAGAGCAATACTATACTTATGTACCCAAAAAACTATTCATGCATGCACATGGATTCGCATGGCCAAGAGTATCTAAGAACTGGTGTTGCATTGAGACCCGGTACTTTCTGCATTGTCTTCATGTGTCACTAATTGTACCATCCAAATATGCTTGACATGGCTTGACACTATGACCGCGCTCATCAGTTGACTGGTGCGCCTCGGACGCCTCGGACGCCTCGGACGCCTCGGACGCCTCGGACACCTCGGACGCCTCGGACACCTCGGACGCCTCAGCCTCCAATTCGAGCACTGCTTGACCACTCCCTGCAAATGAAGCTTCCACCTAGGCCAATTTCACCAAGATTTCATATGTTTCATGCAGTGAAATGTCAAAATGTGGTGCAGTCAACAAGACTTTTCCACCACTGAAAAGCATGCGTTTCGGGATTGTCACGTCATGGGTTTTGCTTTGCTACAAATTTATGCTGTGTGAGTAGTTGCCCAAGTAGTTTGGTGCATCCCTTGGGAACATGCTGAACAGACTTGACACAGAATGCATAATTTCCACTCTCCATGTCCTATCAGATTGCCTAATGGAAACCCGGAAAAGGATATATACCCACAATAACTGCGCGAATCAATTGCGAAGGTTCAGCAGGTATGTGCGCGTGTCCATGATTCAAGCCTAACCTTGTCTCCGATTTGTCTGCTTCAAGATGTTTCAAGTCTCAAACACTTGCATTTGCATTGTCTGGTCTCCATGGCCTACATTGCGCCGTGGGACAAGCAAATAAGCAGGGTGCAAAAAATATATCATTGGCTACACATCTGTTTGAGACTGCAGGAAAGGTCCTGAATTGCAGCTCAGACACAGTATATACTCGCTGAATGCCAAGTTCCCGGAAGCCCACCAATCGTGCTGTGGACATTTTGGATTCGTTCAAATTGAAGGCACACCTTCGTCGTTCGTGGACGCATGGGAGGTGAGCATACAGGCTTCTGCTAGCACATGACAGAAATCGTTTCTTTCGTAATGGTCGCTCTGAAATATGATTGCTGGTGTCATGTGGTGGCAAATGCACACATCATGTATATAGCATATGCATATACGAGTACGTATGCATATACAGTATGTGCACACGGATTTCCTGAGAGGGGTTGCATTTTGGAGCATCAGATCTTCAGTTTGGGGAAGGTGATTTTGCGTGACAGGTGCAGCACTTCGTATGACCTGGCGTCACTTTTTCGTGGCAGGCGCAGCACTTTAGACAGATGGAGTGGAAAAGTCGCAAAACGCATTGGTAAGAGGCCGTCAGCTCTGCACTCAGCTTTCCATGTTTGAAGGAAGTCTCGCAAAAGTGCTTCGTTTTTGATGTTGTCAACTTCGAGAATGGCGGAAGTCTCGCAGGACTGTCTCGTTTTTGGTGTTGTCAAGTTCAAAAAGTGAGGAAGTCTCACAGAATTGTTTCGCTTTGACGTTGTCAAGTTCAAAAATTGCGAAAGTCTCGTCTCGCAGAATAGCTTCGTTTTCAAGCTTTTAGATAGACAGATAGATAGATAGATAGATCGATCGATCGATGGATGGATGGATGGGCAAATAGATAGATAGACAACTACAAAACAACTACAACTACAACTACAGCGACACTACACTACCACTACAACGCAAATACAAATACAAATATACTAGGCTACAATACACTAATTACACTACACAAATTACACTACACTACACTAATTACAGTACACTATACTAATTTGACTACAACTACAACAACAACAGCAACAACAACAACAACTACTACTACTACTACTACCACTACGACTACGACTACTACGACTACTACTGCTACTACTACTACTACTACAACAGCTGCAGCTACAACTAAAGCTACAACTGCGACTACACTACATTACACTACACTAATGATATTACACTACGCTACACTAGGCTACAACTACGACTACAACTAGAGAACTACAACTACAGCTACACTACGTTACACTACACTACACTAGCTACATTACACCACGCTACACTAGGCTACAACTACGACTACAACTTAGAGAACTACAACTCCAACTACACTACAGTACACTAATTACACTACACTACGCTACTCTACACTACACTAACTGCAACTACAGCTACAACTACAACTACCGTACTTCACACTACACTACACTAGGCTACACTACAGCACACAACACTACAGCACACTACACTGCATGTCATTTCACTACACTCATTGCACCACACCAAAACAACAACTGCAACTACAACTACGCTACACTAATTACACCACACTACACTACAACTACAACTCCACTACGCTACAACTACAACTACAGCTGCACTACAACACACTACATCCAGCAGTTGTGGGTGAGGTGACCACTGCAACCATTGCAAGCACTCCAAAAAGCACAACTCCAACCACCTTTCCGTCCACCAGTGGATTCGCTCTGCCATCCATGCATCACAACAACTCACCTCTCCTATAATGCCCTATCTTTGAGACTTCCGCCACCGCCTTGCCCGGTACTACTGGTAAGATGTCTAAACTCCGTTACACGGACGATATGGCAAAGAGGTAATTCAAAAATATTTATTAAAAAAAAAGAAAAAGATGTCAAGAGCGTCGAGATGTGCACAGAGGAGAGATGTGAAGAAGGTAGGGGTGTGAAGAAAGTAGAGAAGTCAAGAGGTGGAGATGTGAAGACTGTAGCGATGGCTAGAGAGTAGCGCTGTGAAGGAAAAGGGATGTGAAGAGAGCAGGGGAGTGAAGAGAGTAGGGAAAGAAATTTGTCAGGAGAGCAGAGCGTGTCAGGTCCCAGGCTCCTGAGCTGTCTCAGAAAGAGGCTGCTCTCCCTTGTCTTTACATGCTTTTCCCTCTCTCGAAACTTCCGTCACCCGGCTTGCCCGGACTCTACTTGTATGGCTGATATGGTTGCTGCCGGGAAGCTTGCGCCACTTGAAGTCTGAAGAGCCCAGGCAGCAAAGCCTGTGCCAAACTATGCCAAGTTCATAAGAATGCTCACCAACGTGAACAAGTTCGCGTTTGAAGACTCCAAAATGCGCAAACATCTCTCTCTCTCTCTGCCTGGGAAGTAGCCGAATGTCAGCATTCCGATCCCTGTCTTCAGCTTTTCCACCATAAAAGAAAATACCTTCTTTCTTCGAGTCCCCGTGAAAATCCTTGCCGGCCAGGTAGCATAAAAAGAAATGCAAAGACCTAGTATCCAAGGTATCGTCTGCTCCTGGATGCTGTTGAGAGTCAATAAAAAGTTCTACAGTGCGACCAGCTCTCTTTATGGTTTCTTTCAAGTGGTAAATCTCCGGATGGAGGATCTTGCTCGGCTTCGCATATACACCTCCACTGCAGCGCTTTTATATTCTCTTGCCGGAACAGGGGGATAGCCTGTCTAGATTATAGCTCAATCTCCTTAAGCTGCCAACTTTTGTCCAGAACCGTGCTCAATCTGTCGAATGCTGAATGTGACTTGCAGGCTTGGACAACATGGCGGCATCATTTGTATATTTGTAGGAAATCAAGCCACAAACAGCCAGTAAGCACGCACACTATTTTCCTTGAGCCATGAAGTAATAGATACATTACAATGGACAACAGACACTACTTTACAGGGAGGTATGGGGAATACCAGATAGTACTCCCGTAAAAACACCCCCCGTTTACCGCAACTGCTTGGCAGTTACGGTAAATAATGTGCCTGTAGTCCGCCGCTGCAAATCGACCTGAGTCAATGTGAAAATGTTCAATGACTAATCCTACACCGAATGCGAAATGGGCTCGTTTGCAACGGATGTCAAGGTGATGGACGAATGCTCGAATGCAATTTGCATGCTTCTTTTACGCCAGAGTTGGCTCGAGGTTGCACACGGCACGGCCTTGGCTCCCGCCAGGCGTCTTCAAATGGAATGAAGGAACAATACCATTCCTCTATTATCATCCCAATCGGACACCATGGCATGGAAAAAAACTGTACAGCCATGAAAGTGCAAATCGATTTGAGTCCTTGCCTTGAACATCCAATTGTATGGCTTGAGAAGTTATGGATGATATTTTAATTCGTTCAAACTGTGCAGAAGTTTGTGCATAGAAGTTCACATGAATGGAATAATGCATAATGTGCGTCAAAGCTTTGGTTTGTTCAATGGGCGCAATGCCTGCCAAGTTTGTCATAGACAGGCATGCCTCCCGGCAAGCAAATTTGAAAAGGAAAGATATGACCTAAGTGTCAATGCGAGTCATCCCATAGTTCAGGTCCAGCGCCAGTACCAGCCTCGCTGTTGATTCCAGTACCACGTGTAGCGATAGCCCTGAACCCAGAAGGAATCTCCTTCAAAGTCACCGTAGGCCACACCTCCCGGTGGGCTTCTGCCTTGCTTGCCCTTCCCCTTCTGCTGTCCCTTCCCTTTGGTCTGTCCTCCACCTTTGTGATGACCTTTTCCACCACCACCGCCCTGGCCGTAAGGACCGCCGCGAGCAGGCTTGCCAAGATTCGGTTCAAACTGCTCGTGATGGGGTCGTTGATGTTCAGGTTGGCTGATGGCTGCACTTGCATGAGGAAGACTGACCTCCCGGTCGTCGCCGGTGGTCTCAGACTCCTTGTGCGTCTGTTGGGAGGCAAAGTTCGACCATTGCAGCTTGCTGAACTCCACCAATTCTTTCGCGATCTCTTTGGCATCTGAAGCATCAGGCACAAAGTCACGATTGCCCCATCCATAAACAATGGGTAGAGGTCTTTGCCTTGGCTTGATGAACTTCGCCACGTAGACTGCGAATTGGCCAATGTCGAGAAAGACGCCCCGATGCGACACAAACACCTCGGTGTGAAGATCCAAGGGTTGGTCGGGCTCCCGCTCCGACGATGGCACAAAGATCAACTTGGTGGCCATCTCAAGCTTTTCACCAAGAACCTGAGCTTTGGTGCGCTCAATGGTCGGGCTCACGCAGCCAGCCAAACGCTCAATGAAGAGCAAGGCTTCCGGCACCAAGTTTTGATTCGCCGCATTGAACTGAAAGAACGGGTCGCGGACGAGTCGGTCAACAAGGTCTTTGAAGCCCCTTTTCTTGAAAGATCTCACGTAGTTCTTGGCCATATCTCTCAAGTTGCCATAGGTGCTTCTGGTCCGGATGGCTGTCGAAGAAGATGATGATCCCTTCTCCGGCTGCCTGGCTACTCTGCCTCTTCGCGGGTGGTTGAAGATCACCTTGTCCATGGAGAAGGGCACTCCTCTGGTACGGGCCATCGCCTCCCGGCGGGCAACTTCCGTGGCGATGTTGGCATCGGTCACGGGTTCCATCTGCCGGAAGCAGCGCGGGCATTTCAAATGCCCATCCATCATCAGATATCCACAGATCGGATGGCCACAACGTACCTGAGGCGTGTCTTGGATCTGGTTGTAGGAAATGTCCTTGAATTGCAACTCAAATCCGTGTCGACCTTGCCCTCGACTCCAATTTCCACCACCGGGTCCATTCCGTCCACGACGTTGGAAGCCACAGGCGTCCGTGCTTGTCATGGCGGCCATCTTTCCAACGGTGTAGCCGGGCACCAGCTGAGAACCTGATGCCGGCTCACCCTCCCGGGTGGCAGTACTCTTCTCGACTTCAATGTCTTCACGCCTGGAAAAGGGGAGGAGCTTGCCGAACTCAATGCGCTCTTTGATGCCTTCAAAGTTCAACTGGGCATTTTCCATCAACATTTCCATGCGGCTCATGAGAACATCCGTCGGATCAAACTCGGCCTTGGCCTGCTTGAGGACTTCCTGGTAAGTCTTCCGATGGTTGACATAAGCCCTGTTGATAAAGAAAAATTCGCCCGAACGCATATCAAAGGCGTTGATCATCGGCTGGTTCGAGATCCAGTCTGGCGACAGGATGGCCTCGTCAGTCGCGAAAAGTTTGTAGCCCATTTGCATCATGAGCTCCATGTCAAACGCGATGGCGATTGGCCTCCCGGCCCGCGTACCTTGCAACTTTTTCATTTCCGCTTTCCAGGGCGGAGTGGAGTTGAAAAAGTTGTGGGCTCTGCCCGTTTTGTACGGGAATCCGCCAGGGATCAGGCCGTGCTTGATGATGGAATTGAAGGCGGCTTGGTCACAGGTGTGATACACCACTCTGGGGAACTTGTGCCACACAGGCGAGCCTTCCGGCATCGCGGAGAATGCGGGGTGGACCGTTGGGTCGTCGATCTTGGTCTGGTCGAAGTTCTCATCAAAAGTGAACATCGTTTTGATCATGCTTGACATCCCCCCTTGCTCCACGAGAAAGGCCCGATGACCCTGAATGGCCCTGATCCTCACTGGCGTCCACCTGAGCTTTCCGGACGACAAGCCGTTCACCTGGACTCTGAAGCGACGCATCGGAGAGTTGCGCACAACCATCAAAACTTCTTCTTCTCGAAGGTGCGCAAAATCTCCTTGGAGATGCCTCACCAATGCCTTGAAGTCCATTGACAAATCAGTCCTCCGAATCTCAGGTGATGGCCTCCTGTGAAACAATCGATGGCCACGGAGGTAGTCGGACATAGCATGGGAAATTGATCCGAGCCTCCCGTAGTCCACCTTGCGCACAGGAACTCCTGCCATGTTGTCCGGCTCAATCCAAACCAGATCCTGTGCTGAGGCAAATTTCGACGTGTCAAACTGTTCAGCACTTGGCCCATGTCCCTCATCCACAACCTTCAATCTCTTTGGCATGGCCTTCTTCTTGGGCTTGAGCTTGGACGTCGGGTCAGAAGGCGTGGCTCCCGCCGACGCAGCTGCAGTGGTGTCAGTTCGCCATGTCTTTGCAGATGAGGTGCTCTGAGCCATGTCAGTTTTCCACGTCTTTGCCGATGACGAGCTCTGGGCCATCTCCGTCTTCCAGGTCTTCGCTGATGCCGTACTCTGGACCATCTTGTTGCCCTGATCATCAACATCCATGGGCTCCGGGTCCCCCCGTGCATCAGACTTCGAGGCCTGCATAGAAGAGACCTTGTCGATCACGGCCATGTCGTCATCGTCATCATCATCAATCGGCTCTGCCTGCCCCTCCTCAGCGTCGTGGAACTCCTCTTCATCGACAATCTCCACCGAAGCCACCGTCTCGAGGTCGTCAAGGTCCAGCTCCTTTTCGTCTTCATGTACTGGGTCACTGGCCACGACTCCCGGCGGGCGTTTGTCATCCTCAATGAGGTCCCACCCTTTGAAGTCCTCATCTTCATCCTCAGCCGCATAGGTGGCATCTTGCCATTCTTGGTCGTGCTCCTCTGAAAGGCCCTTTCGCCTTGCCAAAATTCGATCATCCATGGTGAGGGCCTGAACTTTGACAGCCTCATCGTCCGAATCAGCGTTGTCATGGTGCATTGGTTCCAATGCCTGGTCCTCTTCAGGGATGTCACGCAACCAGGACTCGACCTCCCGGTCGGCAGAGGCTGTGGCGCTCTCCTCAGCTTGAAGCACCCAGTTGAAAATCTCGATATCTGCATCCAACATGAGCTTCTCAGGATCAGGTCGCTGAGGAAGATCTTTTGGAGAGGATACATTCGAATCGATTTCAAGCTGGTACGCGGCCTTGAGGATGGTGAGGTTCGGGTAGTTCTTCTGCTCCTGGAGATCGTCAATTCTTGGGAGCGTTCTCAAGTGATCGTCGACGCTGATGAGCTTGAGGTAGGCAAGGTGGCAATCAGCGACGGCTTGGAGGAAGTTGGTGACATACTTCCGGTTGATGTCGTCGTCTTCCAAATGCACCTTGTCATATCTCACAGTTCTGGCAAGCATCAAGGTGGTGTCCAAAGTTTGAATACCATGGTCCTCTCGAAGTGCCCTGATGTGGACCCGCATGGTCTCATTGTAGGCTGACGGGAGAGCAAAGATTTCCGCGTCAGCGTTCCCAACGACCACGATGTCCAGGATCCGAGGCTCATCACGTTTGAGCTGGCCCAGTTCGTTGACGGACCGCTCGACTCTTGCCTTTTGCCGCTCACACCAGTTGGCCGTGACCTCCCGGTCGGCAGCAGACTTGTTGTAGGCAGCCCTGTGGATCCAATGGACACCTCTGTAACCCCCTTCGCCAAACACATCATTGCCGGCCCACCCCACGATGACCAACACCGGCAAAACCGGGCGACCATGTGCACGATTGGTGGACTCGATGTCGTCGATGGCCTCGGGGATGTACTGCACCATGTGATTCAAACCTTTGCCCCACAACATTTTTGTGTAAATGCCACGGATGTCTCCCCAGGGCTTCAAAAGATCGCCTCCGGAAAAACACGAAGCCTTCCCTGCTTGGGGGTCAGGTACCAGAGCAAGAGATGAGTCCGATACGATCAGCAGGTCGACCTCGCCTCCCGGCGGGTAGGGGCACATGGCCAAAAACCCATCGGGCGTGTTCTTGTAGACTTCCGCGAGCGTGTCGTATGCCCCTTCAGCATTGCCACCACCCAGCATCGGCTCGACGATATTCGCCAGGGGTAGGCGGCATCCCTCCATCTCTCGCAAGAGCACCTGTGGGTCGTCCCACGTCGCAACCGCAATGGCTGCCTTCAGGGTGTTGACCACACTTTCCCATTGGGTGATGCGCTCGAGGACGGCGGGCCTCCCGGCAACCGCACAGGCCTTGGCCATCTGGATTGCACGAGTCAACATGACGAAGACGGGAGAACAAAAGGGCGCGATGAGTGCACAGCAAGTTAGCTTGAGAGCGGGATGCTGTCGGGTAAGAGCTTTATGTATGGCGTCTGTCATGCGGAAAGTGTATTCCTCCGTTTTCTTGAGTGCAATACCTCTACCTGGAGCATGACGCCTGTTGCATGTGCATTGGAACTTCGACAATGCTTTACCGACTCCAGCATGGTTAGTGGCCACTGTCCAAGGTTTCTTCAAAGGATCATTGTCTTGATTTACCATTCCAAGGGCACATCCATCAAAATGATATGCAATCATCCCATAAAAGTTCAACAGCTTTGCAACTTTGGTCAATTTCCAATATCGACATTTTCGTGGCCACTCGAGTGCAATGTGTACTTCGCAGTTCAACATCCGAAGAAACGATTTCAAGGAAATCCAAAGTCGGTCAAACTCTCTGACATGTTTCAACACCTTTTCACGTGCACTGGGGTTTTTCATGTTGATATACGTCCATGGTGTACCCCCCGTGCACGGTAGGCTGATCCATATAAATGGTTTCACATCACCTTTGAAAGAGTTGACGTACTCTGCAATCCTCATTTGGTTTTCGACTTCGTTTAGATCAAATTCTTCAGTGAACTGTAGTACTTCACAACCTTCGGACCACTTTCTGTTGGTTTGGCTGAGTTTGGACTCGGGATGACAGCAAACTTCAACGATCAGTCTCTTGGTATCAGACTTGGCAGCGGGTCCCCCCGTGCTTGGTGTGGCAATGATTGGAGGTGTGATGGCCTCCGACGCCGACGCCAAAGCTTTCGGTGGGGTAATCTTCTTGGTGGGGGTCAATGCAAGAAGTTTGACAGCTAGTTTCCATTTCTCTGCATTAACAAATGGTTTCGTGAGAATGTCTGCAGCTTGGAGCATGCTTGGACCATGGACTAGCTTATACCACCTTCTTTTAAACTGTTCCTCCAGCCAAGATAGATTAACTCGCTGTGTTTTGTCTGTATGCCGGAAAGTGGGTGATTTTCCGTTCTCAAGGATTCTAATGGTGGCCTGATTGTCCTCTACAAAAACACCTTTTATCGACCGTGGGGAAAACATTGAGATCATACATTCTCCCTCTTTCTCACGTCCTACGAACTCGTAGTCGGTGATGGCTTCACGGATTTCGACCGATTCGATGTTGTAGTCGGACTCGTAGGGACCATAGACCCTGAAGAAAGTCTTGCCGGTCCACTCCCCGTTGATCGGGTAGTCAACTTTGACCTTCCAATTGTCCTGCATGAAGTCAACCATTCCGTCCTTTAGCATCACGGTGGTTCGAGCACATCCGATACGCTTAAGGTTAATGGGTGACTTGGACATGTCAACGGGTGTGAACAAATGTGACCTTGGTTTTGTATGGACTCGGATGAGTAATCTTCTACTTCTCATGAATTGCCAGTATTCCCCATTGGATTCTTTTTGGGTTTCAATGTCATGCCTTGGCAAACCTCCCGGTATGCTGTCTTTTGGTGCTCTCTCCCCCCCCGCGTTCTGGAGGTATGCCCACAAACCGGAGGAAGGTAGACCGACAGCTCTGAGGGATACGTTTGCACTGACAACTTCACTTTCGGTGCTTGACATTGCAACGGCAGTTTGTTTCTTACTGAATGCTGTGAGCGGGAAGTAGGTATTGGGTCCTACAAGGACTAACAAACAACCACTGGTGGATCGATTGTCGTACTCCCCTGCATGGTCTGCATCAGCAAACAGCCAAAGCCTACATTCACTAACCTTGTCCCCTATGAAAGCCCTTTGCTTGTGATCCAGGGTGGAATTAATGTAACAAATAAGTCTGTGCAGTGCCTTATCGCATTCCGCACTCCATTTTGTCACACGAGCTGCTAGGCCTTGGACGGCGCGCAGCAAATCGAAACGTGCCATCCTGGCTGCAAATAGCACTTTCATAAGGACCCTTGCGGCTATTGGAGCCAATACGCCTTTGGTTTCTTTCTCATCGGCAATGGGCCGTGCAATTCTTTCTTCATGACATGGTGTGGAAACTTGTTTCAAAGGCTTGGCATCCCTGCCCGCAAGTGAAATGTAACGTTCAACACATGATTTGAGGAAAGGCTCCATATCATATGTAAATGTAGTCACCGGCTTTTGCATGCAGGGTTGGTTCTCAAACAGTTGGTCCATGTAAGAGAAACCTTCCGCTCTAGCTTTCTTTTTGGCTCCGGACTTATCCCTCTTGATGGTGGCCATGGCAGCCTTTGGATCTTTGCATGATGTTGGGAAGAAGTATGTTGTGCCAACCCATGAATCATTGAGACTACCCCCTTTGTTCACGTTGGATCCAATTCCAATAGTATCCCATTGCTCAACTTCACTTCCATTGTTGTTACATGGGATTGCATTCGTGAATCTAAATGGGGCTAGTTGGCATGACTTAACCACTTCTTCATCGGGCAAAAATAGTTTCTTCCTTGGCTGCACGTGGTGTCTCATGTAGACATCGTTGACGGTGTCGAGCTCCCAGAAATCCTGAGTCCTGTGGCACGCGGCGGCGGCAGGCGCGGCCGGGTCGGCCAGTGACTTGTCAAAGACATGAGCATAAGGGTGATCCTCGACCTTGAGCTTTACGTTGTGTTGAGCTACATGGTCGCATCCAAGATATCTATTGACTTCCCCGGGAGTGTCCATGTCAATCTTCGATGCAATCAAACTCCATCCCTTTGACATGTTTTCTTTGGGACCGGACATCTTAAAATCGTCAACATACACGACAAGCAACAACTTGAGCTCTGGATGGAAAAACACCGAAGGCCACCCTTCCGGGTCTGGCATGATAAAGCCCACTAGTTTCAACATGGCTTCACAGTACTGTTCCCAGAGTCCCCCCGAATCGGGGTGACCGTAAAGAGCGATGCGAAGCAATACAACTGGTCTAATGAACTTACCATGCCACTCTTTGGGCCATCGATCGGGTGGCAGTTCCACCCACGTCTCCACGCCCTTCCATAAGGCTTGAGTGTAAGCTTGTACTCCATCATTTTGTTGGGTTATGAATCCCGGTTGAGCTCCGTAGGCATCTACTGCTTTACCAGCTTCCATGGTGGCAGGCGAAGACCCTAATTCCGAGAACAGGGCAACATCGGCACTTTCGTCCTTTACGTTGTTGCCTTGAAATACTGTTCTTCCTTTGAATTTTCGGAGTTTATCTCCTTCGGGTAATTCACTTCCCTTTTCAACGCAAATCTCAAAGACCTTTCCTACATGGACCTTCTTCCCAGTCTTCTTGGCTTTGTCGGCAATGACCTTCCATTCGGCCACTGTTTCATATTGCCAGGCCTTCTTCTTTACCAGTTTGTCCCATTCTACATCTAAGGCTTGTTGGGCTTTGGGATTGGCTCTAATTTCCTTTTTCCCCACTGGCCTAGCCACCAAAGTGTTAACGGCTTTCTCCCCAGATTGGATTCCAAGCCTAATACACTTAACTCGATGCTTTTGAGGGTTCATCTGGCAAACAGGCATAGCTGGGATGAATTCGTAGGATAAACTTTCATCCAATTCATTTGGCGATTCCTTGAGAGTTCCGATCATGGGTACAGCTTTCACTCTTTTGGCGCGTTTCTTTTCCTTTTCTTCCAGGGCTAATTTCCGTTGCTCCTCTGCAATCGATGCTCTTCTTTCTTTTTGAGACATTGCTTGCCAAACAAATGGAGGGATGTCCTTTGGTTTGCTTGAATTTTTGTATTTTCTTGCTTTAAATCCACCTGCGTCATAGAATGAGGGGTCATTAGTCTTGATTCTTTCGAGTTCCCCTGTGATCGGGTTGATTACCTCGACTTCGGTATCAGGTACAGCTCCTCTGATGGGCTCGTCCACACGGTTCCTCAGGTCGATCGGCTCTTTTGAGAATATGGTGACGATCACTTCATGAACCTCAATGTCTTTTTCAAGGTCTTCGACCGGAGGATCAATCTTCAAGTTTTCTTCGTGGACATGCCATGATTCATCATCTTTAATGCATGTTGTCCGAAACGGAAAATCGGCTGCATCAAAGTCGGGAGATGGACCTATACACTGATTGTCGATGATCCGAACATTCACCTTGCAATTGGCGTATTCGTACCATGCTTCCTTGTGATCAACATGCTTGAAAAATTCCAACCACCCCTGGTGATAGACTGCGGATGCACTGGATTGTTGTACAGGCTGTCCAGCTTCAATGTCAGTAATTGATCTCTTGACTGGGCCTGGCTCCCGCACAGGCTGAGCATCTTGCTCTTCCGGTGGCGGTAATGCATCCTGCTTATCACACAGCTGGTTTGGTTTCAAGCTACCGTCTCGGATGGCATCGGCACGTTTGCGACAGGGAAATTCAATCCTCTCGGGTACTGAAACCTTTAACACCCTCAATACTGTGACGGATTGGTCAAAATCTGCATCATTGATTTGCTTTAGAGAAGCTACTGCAAATTCTTTTCTCCAATGGAAGCCTGGATGGATGACATATCCTAGGAAGATACCAGGTTCAGTGGTCGGTTCGAACTTCATCTGTTTCTTTGGTTTCTTCCGAGGTCCATTCCAATAGTCCACCTTACATCCAAACGGGATAAGTGGTCCTTCGAAGTCTGTCCCAAACCTCAGTTTCCATGGTGTGTCCTTTCCAGTCCCATCTGGTGCCGTGTCATGCATGATGCACCAATGTCTGGCAGCATAAGGCCAATATCCATGGTGTAAGTCCTGCTTGAAGTAAATTGGCACGCGTTCCTTCCAATGTGGACCGCACGGCTCGTTCGGCAATGGCATTGGATGTCGAAATGTAATCTTTACTGATTTGATGCCTGATCTTCATAGCTCTCATAGCTGCTACAATTTCTGGGGCATTATCACTGTAAAAGATTCCAATTTTCTCCAAGTCATCAACGAAATGTTTCATTGCCAGTGTGGTGTTGGAAGTGTCACGGCGTGCAACGGGGTAAACATATCGAAAATCAGTGGCAACATCCTTAAGTACCATTGCGACCCTATCTCCATCAACACCGGTTTCAGGGTCCGATTTGGCAATAAGATAGTCACCTGTGACATGATCTCCAAACTTCTTTGCATCGACCATGGATGATCCTCCTTTAGAGTAACCGGGTGGCTTGTACATCTTGGCCTTTGTACAGACATCACAGTATGGATTCTTGGGAATATGGGTAAGCATGTGTCGTTTACTCTTAGCTTCAGCCTTGAGTGCGGCCTTACCCCTCTCCCTACGTCTTTCCATTTCCGGGTCACGACGGACTTCATCCCTTGAATCATCAACATCATCAGGCTGGACCTCCCGGTCAGCTGGTGCACTGCCTTCTTCATCGGAGGGCGCATCGGCACCGGGATCGCCTGAGATGTCAGGTACAAGGTCGTCGTCAAACTTTGATGAATTACCTCCTACAACTGCAGGTTCGTCATCTTCATATTCTTCGTCGTAAAGGTCTGGTGACGGGGGAGAATCCTCCTCTTCTATGAAGCCTGACTCGGATCCTGATGAACTAGCCATCACTTTAACTCTCTTCATGGGAGAACCATTGTTGCTTGATTTTGCCACTGTGGACACACTTGGTTGATTTGATTTGGAACATAGATATGGGACATAGTCTCTGACCTCAAGTTCAATGACCTTCCCATCAGGTGAAACTAATTTCGGCTTCTCATTCTTGGAGCCCCTCCACACGAAGTCAAATCCATCCTCAACGCACCTGAGTCCAACTGATAAAACAGGAGGTGAACTTTGCACCAGGTACGGTGACACGGTAGCATTCAGCTCTGGGACTTTGACCTTGCCCTGCTTCATGGATGAACTTTCCCCATTTGCAGTGATGAGACGGATTGGATTGTCGGAAAAGTAACCATAATGATCCGGTACATGGTGATCAGTGAGTAAATCTTGTGCACTACCGGTATCAACAATCCAATCGATAGAGGCTTCGAAACATCCATCAACGTACTCCTCGGATTTGGCAGGCATCGCAACTATTTCCTTTGGAATACAGTGATCACAACCAAACATGGTGTCACATTCATAGTTGCATTTGCAGACATAGTTCATTAACGAATTCTTGACTGCTCCTGCCAACATGTTCGCTGACAAACATGCGTCCTCTACGTCTCTTCGGTCAAAATCAAACGGATAGTTGATAGGAAAAGTTTTCTTATATCTCCTTGAAGCTGGATTGATAGGCTCAAGGTCCCCCTTGGCAATGACTTGATACACATCGTGATTGGTGTCAAATGTCACTGCTGGGCAACTGATCACATCAATGGGTGGCATAAGGCATGCATTGGATACGGATGCTAACATCGAGGCAATCAGGCAGACGGCTGCTGGGGAAGCTTTGGGAGTGTCAGGCTTGCCTCGATTCCCCTTTGGGGAGCGGCTATTCCTGGGACTCCTTGATCCCTTCTGCTTTGGCGAGCGGTCCCTGCCTTTTCCTGGACTTCTGCTGTTCCTTCGTCTGGATCCTTTCGAGTCATTGGACGAAGGCCTGGCAGGAGTGGCAGCACGAGGAGACTTGGTTTGCTTACCCTCGTGACTAAACCTACAGTCATTGCCTCTGTTGCATCTTCCCTGTTTCCAAAACTTGCATGGCTGCTTCTTCTTGCTCTTATCGTTCTTACCCCTTGATGATGATCTGCCACGGTCGGATGAGGGTCGTGATTGACTTCTGTCTTTCTTTGGTGGAGGCTTTTCATGTTTGAATGGGCAGGCATCATTCGTGCAGGTCCCTTTATTCCACTTGACACAGTATCCCTTTGGAATGTACCCAGTCTTCTCACCCACAGCCGGAGCTGCGCTGGACGACGAGGCACCGAGGGTCCTGGCAACTCGTTCACGATTGGACTCGAGTCGCTCCCTATCCAAGTAGCGGCGAACTGCTGTCACTAGGAAATCGTAGGACTTCTTTTCGGTCCCATCCTCAGCACGATGATATTCCTGCAAGTCGTGTGCTATTGCTTTACTGGTCTTGACTTGGTTAAAGAACAGAGTCTCCAGAATGCTAATCTCAGGAATCTTGGGGATACCAGCCATCACTTGATCCCAATTGCTGATGAATCCGCGTAGGTTGTCACCCTTAAGTTTGACACTGAACAAATCCTGTAGTGAGTAGGTCGCTCCATGCTTGATGTTTGTACTGAAATGTTCATGCATCATAAACAGTACTTGACGGCCCCTCACATAACGATGGTTTGTTGCTTCAGTCTCTTTATAAGTGTCAACCTTTCTTGCGAAATCACCTGTGAGAATATTGGTGAGCGCGGACAGCAACTTGGCATCCAGTGTGGTGAACTTGCCTACGTCACGAAGAGCCCCTATTGTTTGGCCTTCTTTCCAGGTCTCACTTATCCAATCAAATGCTTTATCAGGGTCAGTAGATGCTGACATTACAGCTTCCCTTGTGCGAATCCTCCAATTTCTGTATGACTCCGCATGGGGAAAAGCTGGAACTTTCACAGTGTCGGCTTCTTTGACCTTGTTCTTTTCATGTGACTGGTCCCTGGAACTGCCGAACATGGCTCTCATGCGACGGATGAATCGATGGTCACTATCATCAGAATTGTACCCATCCCCGTCTCCATCATCATCATCACCGTCCCCAGGCCCACCTCCCGGTGGGCGTCGGCTCCCCGGAGGGGGCTTCTTCCCACGATTGTCCTTACCACGTTTGCTGTCGCGATCTGCCTGTGAGTCCCTGTCATCATCTGGAGGGTCAGGTCCTGGTGGCTTTCCACCTGCATCCGATAGTGCAACACTTGTTGGTGGATACGTTGGGGACCTAAGACCGGTTATCTCAGAGACAGGATCCTTATTATCCACTGGTGCATTTCCTTCCGGGTCAAGCATTTCCCATATATCTTGGTTGGGTTCCGCTGGTTTAGACGCACTTGCTGATGCAAATGACGGCAACGGTGCAGAGTACTTGACCTCAGTGGACGGCGGTATCATGGCAGTGGCGGTCTGGACAATTGGAATCGGCATTGGGCCTATTGTGTCAAGGAGTTTACTCATCCTCATGTTCATGGATTCGGTTTGCAACTGTTGGGCCTTTATTTGCTCACTCTGTTGCTTGATGATGGATTCAAGTTGGGACATCTGCATCTTACGATGTTCATCCTGGCGTTCATAGTGATCCCTGAGTGATTGGATTTGTTGTTCCTTCGTTGCATTTGACTGTCTGGCATTTCCGTCTAAAACCCTTTTATATACTTCCCCTTGTTGGGCCAATTCTTCACGAAATTGATTTTCCCGACTCTCTGCGAGCAACATCATCTGTTGCATCCGGGCACTCGCAGCTTGTTCTTCTGCATGGAACCTACCGCTCATTTCGGACATCATCGATTGCACCATGTGTTCAGTGTTGGCTAATGCCTCTCGATGACGTGCTTCGGCAACCTGCTCTACCATCTGTGTAATTGCAGGGTCGTGTGAATTCACGTACACTTCATTGTTTTGTACCTGTCGTAGATTCATGGTGTTATTCACCTCAGTCATCTCATGGTGGTGTACCTCGACAGTGTTGGATTGTACATGATGTGAGCCGGCAGGCATGCCCTCCCGGGATGCGTGAAAGTCATATCCACGGTGTGAAAACCTCTGGGCTCCACTTTGGGGCACAACGGCGCCTGGTGGAAGTGGGACACGGACCTCACGTTTATCACTGCGGGAGCGTTCTGAAGGGGTCTGGGAAGTTGTGTGACTTGGTGCATTGTTTCCAGTTTGGCCATTGTCTGCGTCCTCGATCGCCATGGCTTGATGGATCCCGGAATCGCGCGAGCCCTCTGGAGATGGTTTTCCAAAGGGGGCAGACATTTACTTACAAAAGGAAAGTATCTGGCGATACGGCTGATAACCTATATTTGTAGGAAATCAAGCCACAATCAGCCAGTAAGCACGCACACTATTTTCCTTGAGCCATGAAGTAATAGATACATTACAATGGACAACAGACACTACTTTACAGGGAGGTATGGGGAATACCAGATAGTACTCCCGTAAAAACAATTTGCAGCCAAGGGGACGGTTCAAATCTGTGCCAGCAAGGCCTGAGAGGACAAACCGTGGCTAAGGTTTGGTGGGAACCTTTGCCAAAAGATTCCCCAAATAAAAAAGGGTAAACGAAGCCAAGGCTGCCACCACAGCGGTAGCAACCACGCACCACACCTTCTGGGTTTAGCATGGGTACAATCAGCCATTTGAAGGCCTTCGAAGCAAGGGATGGATTGCTGCAAATCAATGCAGAACATTTACGATTCACCACAATTGCCTTGCCCCTTGCCTGCCGCAAGGCTTTGGCTTCAGCGGCAGGTGATAGCAGGAAGGACATAAAGCCATGCCTTGCTTTCGTTGCTGTTTTGGAGGTCTTCGCATGATTCTGAAATATTCCAAAGCCTGGAGGCTTTGGAGACTTACATTCTTTACAGTACCAATGAAGCAACAAGGCCATTGACAAAGCAGTGCCAAGCGTCATCATCCAGGAAGCATTTGATTCTCCTGGGTGGACTCTAGCCGTAATCACGGCAATACCTCCAGCTGCAGCTGAAACACAAAAATGCTCAATGCTGTGTCCTGCTGTGTAAATTCAATGAGGCACTGCGTGAGTTCAAATTTACCCCTGGCTGCCTCTGTCAGTAGGAGAATCCGGTGGATCACAATCCACATCAAGCACTTCACAAGGCAAATCTCCTGTGCCGCCCCGCCACATGTGAATGTCAACGCTGCCAATGAGGACTGGCATTAAACTGACCCAGTGTCCCGTCCTATGGTGTGGCACAACCTGTTGCAGTCAGAAAACACTTCGAATAACACTCACTGCATCTCATTGCAAACAATGGTAAGCCTGGTAAGGAAACATACAGCCCGTGTTAGGCCGAGAGACACCCTCCTGCTAAATAGACTTCCAGCATAGGGATGAGCTTCGAGAGCATCAATAAAGTCGCACAGGTGGCTGTACGTATATGGGTAGTGGTACCTGGTTGCTCTGTGACTCTGTTTGCACATTGGTAGGTTGGTCTGACAAAACAATCCGCTGTGCAGGCACGCGAAAAAGACCGTGTCATCGTCATACTCGAAGGTGTAGCTGAACGATAGTGTATACCATTGCTTCTGTCCACTCCTAAGGGCAAGCCCAGAGATACCCAGAGTTTGGGCCACACCCACCTCCCATCAAAAAAGTCAATGGTCAAGTTTGAGTCAAGTCACATCAGCGGTTGCTTCGCAGGAGCTTCGGCAGACTTCAAATAGCTGACCTGGGCTTCATCCAAAAAGGTTCCAAGCAAGAAGAATACCATGATAGCCGCTATGCCGCCATGACTCCGACAAGCGGATTTGAAGAGAAGACAAAAAGATCAAAAAGGGCAACACAGCCAAGAAACGTCCGCACATCCACGCTCCCATCCTCTGCCTGATTTCTCACTCCAAACTGCTGGCTTCATCCCTTTTTCGCCTGAGATTCACGAATGATCTTGCAGTCTTCGTGTTGTCGCCAGTATCGGCAAAGCATCACCTATACTTGTCTGTGCGCAATGCATAGGACAAAGCTAGAAACATCTTTCGACCATTTTCAACCAAGCTACCGAAGAGCGATCCGGACTTGGCCATATTCACCAAGCGGAATGTCACTTTCAAACCACAACTTCCTCCCTGCACTGCAAAGTAAAACCACTGAGTGTAGCCGTCTGTGTTGGCATCAACATCCACCTCAATTAGCAAATCTGGATGCAGGCAGGCGAAAGCAAATTGGATTTTCCAATGTCTTCCCCTTGACTTCGCGAAGTCACCGCAAAGCCATCCGCTTGTCCGAGAGGCTAAGAGCGTGTATAGGTCAGGGCCCTCACACTGAGCCACGGCCAAATTGCCGGACTCGAACCTTGTGCCAAATGGAGGGACAACTGTTTCATACTGTTTCAATTCCTCTCAGATTTCGACCTGTGACGGGGAACAGAACATCAAGCTGCTTCATGCAGTGTGCGAAAAAATTAGGATCCAAATCTCCTGCAACCTGGAAGCGATGAACAGAAAGATAGTCTAGGCAAACCATCTGCACCTGGAAAATGTTCCTGAGTGCGCCCACAGAATCAGAGTGCCTTCCTTCTTTCCAAATCGCATCAGTATGCATCAGTACCTTGCTCGACCTATCGACCTGTCATACCTGTGACGATCTGAGAGAAATGTCAATTGCGATGGCCTGGTGGGATGGACGAACGCTGGTATGAAATGTCTTACGCGAGAAAACTAGTCAAATACACTATCACAGGCGTGTCAAGGCTGGTGTATGGCCACTCGGCCACTCTTCTACGTTAAGTGAAGGCAATTTGGCACATGTACCGCAAATTCGGCTCAATTCGAGGCTGAATGTAGTGTCATAAAAAATTGCGAGAGACAAAGCCATGTAGGCAACACTTTGCAGCCAAATGAGGGAAAATTGCATAAGAGAAGGTAAATCTGTGAATCCGTGAAGTGTTCCAAACTACAAATTCTGAAGAACGCTGCGACCGTCCATAGCACAGCACCGAAGGAAATAAAGTTTACCTTGTGAAAAAGACTTTTAATTGTGGACAGCGATTCCGGAAAACAGGAGTGTTGATCAATGCCTCGCACTTTTGGTGCGGCCAGGTTGCGAATTCCAGTCCAGTGGGTGGAACACAGGGTCCTTGATTCCACCAGTGCTGCTAGTCACAATAGGGAATGAACAGCTGATCGGAAGGAGTTATAATGGAGCTTAGGGCTTAAAGGCTTGGAGGTCGTTGCTTTCTTTTCTAGGTCAGCCTGTTTAAGCTTCTAATTTTAAAGTTCATGGGCGCTCTAGATCCTTACTGCATACTCACTTGTGCACATGACTGAACCTTTTGTACGTGTGTTTGGGTCAGGCAACTTGTGAGTTACAGACGGAGCGACATGTTGGGTCTGCCTAGCTTCCTGTGTCTCTCTCCGCGCAGAGGAAGGGCAGAACTTACGAGTCTATCGGCGCCAGCGGGGTGCTTCATATTAAATTGATTTAAATTGTTGCCCTCCGTCCCACTCCTCCCTCCCGCCCTCCTCCCTCCTGCCCTCCTGCCCTCTCCCCCTCGATCTGTTCCTGTCTCTGTCTCTCTGTCTGTCTGTCTCCAAACGCGTAGATGTTGCCTCGGTCTATCTTACTGCAAACAAGTTCGATGCATCATATCCCATATTAGTTTCCAAAAGGTACTCTGTGCCTGAAATTGCCTAAATCAAGTGTAGCATATCAGGCAAGTATCAGGCAAGTATCAGGCACTCAAACGTAGGTTTGCTACACAGTAACAGCACGGAGCGAAGCAATGTCATCTAGTACCTTTTCTAAAGTGAAACGTTTTTTCCTGATAGCAGATTCCTGCATCCCTGGTCAAATTGAAGCCAACCCAGAGTGGGAAATCCAGAATTGGTTGGAATATACCCCGACAACGCCTTGCGATTGCTGGGAATTCTGTGCTGGAGACAGGACAAATGCTGGTTCTGCTGCACCAAAAAGGACCCACGGGCGCCAAAACCTAGAAGCGCTTCCTGCCATGCAAGGGCTACCACTCCCAGAAAGATAACATTCGGATTCGAGCAAATTTACACATGAAAGCGTCCCGCTCTTATCTGCAAACAATTCAAGCACCTTGTGCCACCACTTTCTCTCTACTCATCCTCTACTCATGCTCTACTTCTAAACTCTTTGGATTTCATCATTTTAATCTGAGCTCAGACTCCCAGCTCTTGGCGCGTCGGTCGGCCGTCACATGGCCTTTTCAGCACCACTCTCTCCTCGGCCACAAAATGCCACATAACGATGTCAACGATGTCAACGACGTCAACAACGTCAATGTGTCCACGACGGTACTTGGTACTGCACAGAGCCCGCTGCATGATTTGAGCTTCTTGCTGACTCATCGTTCAGGTCCTGCCGACAGCTTTGACGCTAAAACATGCTAAAACTTCGTGTGTTTACTTGACATGAGACATCAGCGAGTGCCAAATCCGAGCGGATTGTCCTTCACTGGTCTCTTTGCATACTTGTTGGAGAGCATCTCAAGACACTTCCGCCACCTGAATCACGGTGCAAGGCTCGAAAGTCTAGTTGCTACCATTGGGACCATCAGAACTCCTAGTGAGCAATTTGAAAACGCAACACTCAAATGCCTTCACAAAGTGACATGGGCATGTGGTATTAGAACATTTCCCAACATCACATTATCTGCTCATTGGCACTTGGCAAGTGCTATCAAAACCAAATCCGCCACCCCAAAAAGGCGCTGAAGGTGCCGAGCATGTTCCTGAAGTGGTGTTCATGGTATCCCCAACAAGAAATTCCTTTTCTACAGCGTATGATCTATGCCCATTGGCTTCCTGGGCTAAGTTTGGAAATGGTATTGAATACTGTCGTCAAAAAAACTCTGCAGTTTTGTTCGCTATGTTCGAGGAGACATTGTGTTAAAGAATCTTACTGGGCGAACATGCCCGATCTAAAACTTTCACCACTTCCAGTCAAGACTTCATTCATTTTGCTTGGCTTCTGTTCTGGGAAGGTCTGCGATTTGATTCGGAATCCTTCCTGGGCACACAGATGCACCAATATATAATGAAATAGTCCGGCGAGGATGTTGATACAAACACAATCGGTTTCAGATTCCACGGGCGGCCCGGGTCTGAATAGTTGCAAACTAGTTTTCACTTTGTAACTGCACTTGCCTTGATGATTCTGTTCCGGTAGACCTTTGTCAAAAACGGACAGCTAGAGCTGCAGTGTCGATTCACAGTATGGAAGCCGTGCTGAGGCAAGGCATCTTATGAAAGTGCTAAGACATACTAAGAAGGAAACCGACTGTAGACAGTAGCACTGTCTTTCTGTTTCGCTTCCAGTCCAGCCAGGTATGAACCGATCCCTGCGGAGACCTGCCGTGCAGACTCTGCAGACTGGAGGTTCTCACCCATAAAGTTTCTGGGCATGTCGTCTACCAGATTTGCATCTTCTTCATTTTTCTTGCATGAAATTGATCAATTGGGTGATTTCAGATCGTTTGCGCCCAAAGCTATAGCTCAGCAGGATGTCTGCAGCCGCAGGAAAAGCTGAGGAACTGACCAAATCAACAAAGTTCAAGTGTCCCCTGGGCTGCAGGAGGCCAAGATCTGTAAAGCATGAAACCCCATGTCATCCTCATCTTTGCCATTTGCGAAGTGTCAACTGATATTTTCCAGCTTGAAAGCATCCCTTTTGCAACGTGAAGTGTTCACAGCCAAAGCACGAGCTCCGTCTACGACTGCCACTTCCAACTGCTGCCGAAGTGGGAACAAAATCTTGGAAGTCATTGTCACCATCTCTGTCCTAGAATGCTTCATGAACAACCACACCAAAAAAAAAGGGACAGACTGTTCCACTGGTGTTGCAAATTTCTGCCATGCCCTAAAATCTGCATTTCAAGTATCTAGACACTCCAGATTTGTACCGCATGTAGTATGCTTGTTTAGGAACTTGCCCAAGACATAAGAAAGGCTATACCTTGTCACCATATGTAGTCCAGACATCTGAATGCCGTTGATACACCATTTTCACCACGTGTATTGCGCAGGCATATGCTCTATGATGTCCTTTTTGCCCCTTGTTTTCCTACAACAAGTTATTCATTATTCACCTATATGACTATAATATATATATATACACAATACATATATATATATATGTATAATTATATATATATACACACAATATTATATATATATATGTGCTCTCTCTCTCTCTCCCCCTCTATGTCTACATTCCCATGTATAGATCTAACCCTATATACCAGATACCATGATACCTCAATTTATTGTGCGGGCCTGTATGCTATGCAGGTACCGTTGCTGTATGCGCCGGTGCACGCTATTTGGGGCTTTGTCTATTTATGTTGCATCACGGCATGAGCTTTCTTTGCAGTTCATATCAAACATCCATAGTTATGGAAGGGGCTTGTTGCCAGCGCCGGAAGACAAAGTTTTTTTCGCGCCAAGTTTGCTGTGTGTTGGTTGATACCAGATCCCAGTCCTTACACACTTCGTTTATACTACTGCAAAGCTTTGTGCAAGAGACCTTGGATATGATCCAATGCCGTAGTGCATTCTGCACAGGTCTCTGCTAAAGGCTCCCTCATTAACCCAAATGCCTCAGTCACTTCCCGTACGATAGCTCGTGTGTCTCGGAGCTTCCGGATGGGTGAGGATGTAGAAGGCGAAGACGAGGATGATGAATCTGACTCAGCCTCCTTGGTTGCTTCCTGGGATTCCTGAGAATCTGAGTCAGCCTCCTGAATTGCTTCCTGGGCTTCTTGGTGGGTTACTTCCTGGGCTTCCTGATGACTTTGAGAAAGTCCGGACACTGGCTGGGCATCAATCTTCGTATTGCCAAAAAACCGCTGGCTTGTCCTGCAAAGCCGGGAGAGGGGATGATGAAGGAGTGTCGGTTCGAGCACGTTTTTGTTCTGCTTTGAGAAGCCACTGAAGGAGTTTCTCTTGAGCTTGGGCAATCCTTTCTCAAGAAGAAGCTGGCACCCAGCCTGTCCAGTACGAAATTTCTTGCCGTAGTCCAAGAGGTACAAGTCACCACAGACAGCAGACTTCAGAAGGCGAACGTCAAGCTTCTGGTCGAAGGTGAAATGCCGAAGAATCTGGTATTCCTTGTCATTGAGCTTGCGGAAAACCATTTGCATTGTGAAGGGGACAAGGATGTCAGATCGCAAAGCCAGAGGGTCAGGAAGTTGGTTGACCTTCTTCTCCGTGATGAGCGTCACTACGCAGTCCAAATCTAGCCCGTGTTCAAGAACATATTTGATCATCTCAATGGCTGTTTTGATTTTGGTGCTGCCTTCCATGGGTTTGATGGGGATGGCCTCGAAGGAGTGTTCTGGTTCCGTTTGAACAGTCATTACATTTGCCAAAGGAGAAGATTTTAAAGTAGCCGCGATGTGGCAAGCTGTGGCGAAGATGGAAGACTTGGCTTGATGACATTCACACCTAGTATTACTAGCCTAGCCAAAACCGCAGACACACCACAAAAACTTGTATACAACACATTGCTCATGCGAATTCAACTTAAGTGATCAAGATTATATAAGAGCTCCACACCTTTTTCATTCCAAAGCAGGTGGCTTCTCCAGCCCTGTCGTTTCCCTGTCGTTTCCAGGGCACTGTGCTTCTGCCCCGGATGTATGACCGGGTGGGCAGGGAAGTAAGGGTGAAAGCTTGAGATGTCATGAAATGGAATGTCTCTCTTGCAACACCAAGAGCTCCACACCTTTTTCATTCCAAAGCAGGTGGCTTCTCTAGCCCTGTCGTTTCCAGGACACTGTGCTTCTGCCAACCTCCCGTCCTTCTCATGCTTTGTCTAAAACATCCGGGGCTCTCCAGCAGAAAAAGTGCCTTTGTCAAAATTGTGGGAATAGCTCCTGCCAAGCGATTGATCCTACCAAAAGCAACTGTCGGCATTGCTTCGGCAAAGGTTGCAACTGAAACTTCCTGCAAAATATCTCGCAAACCATTGATGAGACCCGACGGCCTCTGCGCCGCACCAGTTCTGAATCCTCAAACCTCTGCAGCAGAAACGTGGCTCCACCGGCCCTAAGGCTTGCAAGGTTATAGGGGGCCTGACGTCCATTCGCCTTCAAGGGCAGGCCAAGTGCTCGTTGCAGTGTTGCAAACCTCTTCCGCAGTGTAGAGGGCGAGAGAACCCCAGAGACGCTCGTGCCTAGGCTTCTTCTTGAAGACCGCTGTCAGCAATGCCACAACGCTCTCAGGATCAATGTGGGCTGCCTGGTGACGTGCTGCACTTCCGCGGGTTTTTTGGCTGCCTAATTTGAAGGATTGCTCCATGGACACCTGGGGCTGCATCGCAAGGCAGCACTAAGTCAGAACGGAGAGCCTGCAGTGCCTCTCCGATTCGTAAAACTCCACTCCAGGTCATGAGGAAAATGGAAGCCTCAACTGGCCACCCCCACAATAGGCAAAAGCCAAAACCAAAGATACGGGCATCGCAGGATGATGAATGCGCGGCTCATCCGTAACACAAGCAAATGCAACATCCCATGCAGAAACCAGGGAACGTCTTATGTAAGGGCGTCTGCCCGCCACCACATTGATGGTGATGAGTGATGACTGGCAGCGCTGCAGCCCTCAGTGAGAGGGTGGTCATGGCAACCCTCTTCTGTGCTGGAGCTCCGACACTAATGACCCCTCTGCAAACTGCTTTGTCGGAGCCATCAATCTCAGCCCCGACTACTTTGAAGTGCCTGGAAACCTCTATGTCTTTTTTCTTGGAGCCCAAAACGCCTTCTTTCTCATACTGCCTAATAGCTGCATCAAAAATCATCAAAACTCCTCTGAGAAGGCGATGACTTTGGATCCGCACCACAGGGGAAAACTGACAGTGCAAAGAAGTCGTCAATAACCAGACCCTGGATGTCATCGCCTGAAGGAAAAGCATGGTTGCCAAGGAGTCGCACCTCTTGGCCAAGCAAGCCAGCTTCCTCCAGCAAGGTTGAATGCGCAGCCAAGGCAAATTCAACTCCCAAGTGGTCACCCGGCAGCAAGCTCTTGAACGCAGAGAATACACGGTTGTCAGTGAGGATGGGCTTTGGCTTGAAACAACACCCAAGCTGGTCCCCCTTTTCTTCTCTACCTCTGGGTGCCGTTTTCTCCCGCTCAATCAGGCTCTTGTAGGCTTCAGTGTGTGGGCATCATAGTTGAAGGGAAGGCATTCTGTTGAGCCTTTCGGGAGTGACCGCCACCTGATGGTAGAAGTCTTTCCTGTCTGTAATGGAGCCCAGAACAGTGCACCCTGAGGGACATGGGTGCCTGTGAGGAGATAACCAGAGGGGAGATGCTTTGATGGGCCTGCCAGGTGCCTTTCACCTATCTGCCGATCTGTGGACTCATTCTTCCTTGGATTGAAAATCCTGGTGAATGCATCCTTGTGGGGAGGCTGACGGAAGAGAGCAAGAAGTCCATGAGTTGACCAAAGCATGGCAAGCTGAAGATTCTCATGTGGATCCTCCTTTTTGAGATTGGGACCGGCTGCAAGGCTGAGGGGCATGATGGTGAAGGATTTTTGGCTCCTGATAAGGGAGCCACAGCTCATCCTCGAGGAAATCTGCCATCGCCAACAATCTTGAGCCTGGAGCTGTCGAGGTTGCTATAGGGTTGGGCCGGAAGTCCAAGGCCATCTGTGGAAACCCTGCCGACAGCCAACATGCCCTTGGCCTCCTGAGGAACACTGCCCGAGAGATCTGCCGGACCACCTCCATAGCTTTCAAAGTGAAGCACATCTGCAGACTTGGCAAAATGCTCAAGTTCCAAAAGTCTTGCAATGAATTCTGAGCCTGACCTTCTTGGGACTACAGAATGCAGCTCAGGGGAATCACACATGGGTAGCAGCGCCCAAAGTCTTCTGTGCACAACCAGCTGTGACTGGTTAGGGCGCCTCCCAAGCAAGTGGAGATCCTTCTGGCAGATGCCACCATGGAGACAGTTGAGCGCAACAATGATGATATGCCTCAGTCTCTCCTTCAAAAGGGTGACCATCTCCTCCTGGATAGCTTGGGGATGCCCCTGCTGAAAAGTGCCAAAAAAAAAAGAGGCAATGGATACACCACGGAAGCTGGGGTGTTGCCAAAGCATTGCAGATTAAAAGGTTGTGCGAGGAACAAAGCAAATGGGTCCTGCTAGCTAGCACCCATCTCGGTAGTGCAGCAAGGACCTTGTGGAACGAGGTGAAGGCAGCATGGAAGTCTTCGGCTATTGGGCCTCCTCCTCCTCGCCCTGGCTCTTCTTCTTCCAGGGGCGGGCTGTCCTCTTTGCAGCTCTCTTGGACGCTGGATTTGCTGGGGCGTCTGGCTTGTCCTCCCTCTGTTTTCCGGCTATGTCGGTGCGCCGGTTTGTGATGGTGTCGAGCTCCTTGATGTAGGACAAGGCATTGGTGATCCATTTCTGATCCGCTAGTGGCGCAAAAGCGCGACCCCTGAAGTGGGTGGCCAAAGTCTTGTTGGTGAACAAGCCACTGGGAGGCCTCCGCAAGGCTCAGCAGCAGGGCTACATCCATGCGGCCATTGTCCAAGGCCGTTTGTTCGGGGCACACGGCCAAAAGTGCAATCGCACCTTTTGCTCCTGCAATGTTCTCGTTCTGAAGGCGATCCAAGACCAGAGCCACTTGCCACATGATGTCGCGAATGCCGCGGCACCTGCCATACCCTCCATACCTCTCCACATACTGAGTGGCTGTTACCCCCCCGGGTTGCCAGTTCCTGGGGAGAGGCCTCGGCCACCCTCGCCGGCTGCATCCTCCGGGCCATTGCACAAAAGACTGCATTGAAGAAGGTGCCTCTGTGCTGTGCCAGCTCCTGTTGGAGCTTTACTCGGCCCTGAGCTCCTCTGCTGGAGAAGCTCGTGCTGCTGGATGCTAGGTCCATCATATAGGGTCTCCAGTCGCAAGTGTGGCCACCAGGTGCGTAACTGCCTTTGTATGGTCTGCCTCCTCCACTCAGTTGCTCCTCCATAGCGCTTGTTCTTTCGCTCAAGGTTCGCACTTCCGCCAGTAGCTGCGGAAGAGACCTGCTCAGTTCCTCCAAAGAACTGAAAAGGTTGCTACTGTTGGGCGTGGTTTCTTCTGAGCGCCCTTTGGCCCTGCGTCTCCACCAGTACCAGGACCTGCACCTTTTGCTTTTGGCCTTCTGGGCAGCGGGGCAAACTCCGGCGCTGCCTCTTCCTCCTCCTCTTGTGCTGGGTAAAACGCAATTCTCTCTCCTGACCCTGGGTCCAGCACCCATCTCCAGGTGGCCGCTACCAGCTCTTCCGTCATGGGAACTGACAAAGGGTCGAAGCTGCCGAAAGTGACCAGCCCTTCTGCCAAGGGGTCTGCCGCTAAAAATGGTTTCAAATGATCCCCAACGTCCAATGATACATCGACCAAAACAACGTCCACAGTTGACCCTGGTTGCACAACACGCTGACCAAAAATGGTAACATCTTGGAAGCTGCCGGCAGGTAGTGTCAGTGAAGTTGACTGCCCTATCTGATCCTCCATAGCTGCTGAGAGGCCTGCTGCGCGGACCTCGTCGTTGAAGTATCCCCGCGGAACACAAAGCAAAAGTCCTGTCAGCCGGCGCAAGACAACCAGCGCCAGGCAGCGCACCACCCCATCTTCTGGATGGTCTCCCGCTGGCATCTCCAAAACATGCACTTTGTAGTCTTGAAAGAGATCTGAATTCGCTGCAAGGGGCCCATCCATGAGCTCCTCCTCCATCACTCCAGTTCAGGGAAGTCGCAAGCTGCCGCTTGCAGGTAGGTCTTGGCCACAGTCTTGGAAGGGAAGGCGTGGCAGATGGTTGTTGAAAGGCAGCCGATGTAGTGAAGACCCGTGGGGTCGTGCAGCGCTTGCAGCGCACCACACACCAGTATCTCTTTGGGAGCTCAAAGGTCTCACTCCTGCTGGGGGAGCTGACTCTGCCCTGAACCACCGCCTGGGCCCAATGTCCGGCCACCCAAGCTCGCCTTGCTCGATCAGCTGGTGTCTTGCTGGCTGATCCCAGTTCAGTTCCCTTTCTGCCAAAGAAATCCAAGAAGCAGGGCAGTCAGGAAATCCTGCCAGTATCGAGGCCCTAGTCTCACCTGGATTGGAGGCTGAAGGTGCCGGTGAGGGGGCCGTAGATGGGCCCGCCTTGAGTCCCGTTGCCTCTTGGGCTTTGATATCCTGCTGTTGAAGCCGCAGAATGTTGGGCAGATCCTCTTTGAAGTCCCTGGATGAAAGCCGAGGCAGCAGTGGGGGCACTACGTCCAGTGATTTGAAGACCGGGGAGTTGCAGGCTGAGTTCCACAACCTCAGGGTCAGAGCTGGCGCTCATGCAAGTACCTCTGGAGCCGAGCCAGGGAGCCAGAGTGAGATGCCCGGACAGGGCTGACAGAGTTGAGCCAGGTGGGACGGGGAAGACCAAGAAGATACAAAAACCCAACGTGAGCCTGTCCAGGCGAAAGGTCCAAGGAGATATGCCGATAGGAGAGCAGGGAAAGTGGCAGCACCGCAGTGGGATGGACACGCAAGGCCAAATCAATTGGAACTTACCCCAAACTGCAAGAATCGGATGGCTCCTACCATGAAAGCTTGAGATGTCATGAAATGGAATGTCTCTCTTGCAACACCAATCTGGATTGATCTGGATTACATCATGAAAACCTAAAAAAACAAAAAAAAACAATGTTCTGGAAAAATCCTCTGTGATTTTTCCACAAATGCATTGGGTGCTTCAATTGTTCCACAATCCTTATATCTTATATGATATTTATATATATAATTTTATATATATATATATATATCATATATATATATATCATATATATATATTATATATATATATCATATATCATGTGTGTGTGTTTCCTCAATTTCTTTATTGATGGCTGCTGGTGAAAGCACCATCCCCGCCTCGCTGGAGCTTCCAGATGAATCTTGGAATGAGGCTTCCGGAGGATTTTCTTGCAGCTTTCCTGCAAGGGCTGAAAAACTCTTTACTTTGATGCCTTTCAATGTTCTTGACTCATGGCCATTGTGGCATCTCAGCTCATTGCCGGCCAATATCATGCAAGAACTCACACCACTGCACTGCATTGCACGTTTGGAACCACTGTCAGGAAATACAGCACAAATCTGCCTAGCACAAGCTACGACCTTATATCCAAAATGCACGATCTGCACCTGCTGTATCTTGAAGCTCTTCCTTGTGCTCAAGCACCCTTGAACTATGCTGAGCTCGCTCGTGCATTCCCCATCACTTCTCGAACCACCACCAAGTCCTCACATGTTCATCCCTGCACAGCCCCAAGAACAAGCTGCAACGAAAAATGAAAGTCACGCGCCTCCGAGACTGCCAGCTCCAAAGTGCTCCCAAATCACCCATCGAGTCGCGGCTCGGATGGAATTGAACTCTTGTTCTGGGCTTTCTTTAGAATGAATGGTCTTTGGCGTCTTCGGTTAGTAAATGTCACTGAAACCAATACCCCACTTCTTAACTCTTCTCCTACGCAACTTGTGTTTTAACTACAGTAAAAAGCTGATCCGCAATGGAGCAGTCACAAGACAAGCAGGGAACTCAAACTTCGAAGTAAGCTCAGTGCATCAAGGCGGCTCTTCAGGAATCGCTCTCGGTTTCGTTTCATGTACTCATTTAGTGCAAAGTGGATAGCTGCAACAAGGTGCAAGTCTTCATGCCCGCCTCCGGCTAAACCTTTCAACAATTTTGCGAAGCCTCGGGGAACCATTACTAAGAAATCGTTACTGACCAGACAGAAAATTAACTTTATCTGTGGCTCCCACTTGCCATATTCTGGAAGAGCATTCCTTGGCAAGTCGGATTGATTGGTTATCAGCCTTCACGCCGTGCTCATGTGGAGCTGCTTAAGGTACTTAAGGCAGGCACATGTCTGGCCAACTCGAATTAGCATCTGGTGGCGGCGTGCTTGTCCTCGAAATTGGACTTCCCAAAGCTTTAAGAAATGACTGCCCATGGTACCACTGTCCAATTCTACCATCAGCCAAGGCAGCAGCTGGCTCTTTGAAAGACCAAAAAAGGAAAACCTTAAAGAGTCATGCCAGCTCCCGCAAAGCCCCCTGCTCAAAATCTGGTGACATCGCCTCGGGATGACTTAAGCTGCAGCAAGCAGCAGCAAGTAATGTATTCTCTCGTTGTTTTGTGGGAATCATCACTCCCACTAAACCCTTGAGGCAATGTCCCGCTCAAAGTTCCCCTCCGCCTTCAAACAAACTCATCGGCAATTGCTGACAAGGAAACGGGTGGCTATCGGGATATTGTTCTTGTAAGAATTTTCATGTTGCGGCTCATGGGGCACCAGCCTCGAATAGACGCTTCCTTATGTTGCATAATCCAGAACTGCACATGCAACTACACAAGAAACGACCCGAAAAGGAGCTGGAATGTGAGAAACACGTGAGCTGAGCCAAGCATCTGATAGTGAAAGAATGCATCGTTTAGCGCTCCGGCATGTTTCTGGGAAAGTTGCCTTTGCAAAATGGGAGGCAATGGAGGAGCACAATGAAGTAGAAGAGTTTGAAAACTGCAAGCATGGAGTTCTCAAGTGCATAAGAAGTGTATAAACTGTCGTTCGTTATTTATTTGTTCTTTGTTTGTTGTGATTCGGTGCCTTCTGGCTACTTGCCCCACAAATGTATTTTATCTGAGGGTCAAGCTGATGCAATTCATGGCTGCGATGAAGACCTGGGCCTATAGTATCCCTGAAGTTTCGCCTTGGCTCTGAATTTGTGAACATCACCAGGCATGCGTATATATAAATATACATAATATATATATATACATGCCCATGTCTTTATCGAAACATGTGCATGTATAAAATGGTGTGTAAACATATATTAATATATACATTGAAATTTCAGGAGGTTGAACAGGGGAGTCCTCAAGTTTTGAATTGCTGCGGACTTGTTCCGGGAAGAATTACCCGATGGCACAAAGCAGCAAGGAACTTTAACTTCATATCCATTTCTTTCCGCGCGGTGGAATTTACTCGCAGCAGTGAAACAGAACTGGTGCTACCTTCCGCGCGACAAGGAATTCCTGAGCTACAAGGCACGGCTGCAGAGCTGATCTCCAACGCCCAACAGCTCACACCATGTTATCCCGGTCATTACCCATCATTGTGCTCTGATCATCTCTGATCTACCAAGGGTCTCTGCCAGCGTGATGGCAAGTGCCACAGCAGATCCAATTCCCGAAGCCACAAGGGTCACCAGGCAGCAGCGACACAGGAAGCGCCGAGCTGCAGGGCCAACTCGCCACAGGCCGTGCGCCACATGAACCGCTCGCGCAGGAGCGCCATGTCCGGGCTGCAGCGGAGATATGTCGGAGCCCACCGATTCAATATCCGCAGCGACTGCAGCAGCCACTGGCTCCGCTGGCAAACAAAGCGGTAAGGCCTGAATATGCACTGAGGTCAATGCCACCCTGCCGATCTCCCAATCACATCATGTCCCCCACACCCACACAATAGTATTCAATAGCTTACAAACAACTGCATTGGGTATCACCTTCAGTTGAAGCTGTCTGCCTCGCTTGTGCTGTTTTCTTTGTCCCTCTTCTTGTTTGCCTTCCTTTGTTACAATTGGCACTGCTACTCTTGATTCGGTATTTCCTAATTATACATATTTATATATATATATATGTGTGTGTGTGTATCCTGTTGCCATGATTGAATTTCTTATAATCATTGTACATCATAACTTTCCCTTAGTTAACAGTTTGATTCAGGGCAAGGTCAAGTTTCAGATTTCGAGAATCACGTGCTCTGCCAAGCAACATTGTGCCGTAGTTCTTCAGCCATTTGCACAGCATCAGGCTGATGCAACAGACTTGCCTCATTCACTTGAAGCAACTGCGCCCTCTGTCTGGCAACTGTTCAAGACAAAGCAAACTGTGTAATTAAAATTGCACACTTCTTCGGCTACCTGCAAATCGTCCAACTGCCCCTTCACAAGGCTTGGAGCATACTTGGTCACAAAGCCATATAAGGGACACCTGGCAATCCACAATGGTGTTGGGCACCTCTGTAGCTGACTTACGAAGCTGAAATTAAACAAATGCGCTCTCACCTGTCCCTGGAGCCCTCGCAGCATGAGTAGCCGGCCAGGATTTCACAGTACACCTGAGTCAATAGCAAGTAGTGAAGTCAGTAGCGTGGAATCAGTGGCCAAAATAATTTGGGTTGCCACGACAAGTCCCCTAGGCCTCTATGCTCGTTTTGAGTAATTAGCTTGAATGAAGTGAATGTCAACAGCATGATCATCCTGCCAAGTGTCTGGATAATTGCACAGGAAGACACCACCAAGCAATGCCTTATTTCGGGCCATCTGTGTATCAAACACCGCAGCCGCACAGAAGCTGCAGCCAACTGAGGAGACAACTCGCAGAGGTTCACAAGAAGGTGGCAGAGTTCTTCCCAGTTGCAGGGCAGAAATAGCCAAGCTCTCATAGCGAACCATTGCCTGTGAAAGTGAAGGGTGACGGAACTTGCCGTCTCAAACATGCCTCAAGGCATCAAAATATATCAAAATAGGCCATGCAAAACAAGTCTTCGCACCCAATACCGTCAGGCTGAGCAGCAGCATACAATTCACAGTCACTGCCAGTCTCGTGCTCATGCCCGGGCTCATTTTGTAATGGATTGGCACATAGCAAAGATTGGATTGAGAGCCTGAGAGTGAAGCAATGAACAGGACCATTCGGATGAAGGGGGCTCTAGCCAACCCCCTGACTCAGCGGACAGCACTGGTTGCTCAGGTCCGATTTCTTTAAAAACCAAAGCGTACGCTCAACTCTTTCGGAGAGATATACCGCCGCATATGATATAATATGATATGCCATCGAGATCCATCGTGCTTCCGAACATGCTCGGATAGACATGCAGGCATGAGCAGACTAGAAGCAAGACTGTCCGAAATGTTGTGAGCGAAGTCCAGGACGGCCCTGCCCAAGTACCCAAGATCGAAAGGCAAACCTCGGCTAAGTGCAGAATGACAACCAAACAGATTCAGCAGTCCGTAAACACGTCCGCCCAAAAACAGCCACACAGCGGCACAGACTGCAAACATTACACGCATTGAATTCCCAACCTTTCCATTCACATAGAGGTTAGGGTTGAATCTGACTCTCCCGTCCTGGGCTGCGCATGGAGAACACGGCAGCTAAAAAGAAGTCGCCCATTTTGACAGCACATGACAGCACTAATTGTTAGGAAATGGTTGGTGAAAGGCACATGAAAGCACCACTTCATCCACGTCACACCACGTCACAGAATGTCGACACGAGTCAGCATAGTGCAGCCAGGGCACGCCAGTGAGAAGCTTCGCATGAGGTGGTTTTATCGGATATGTGTTCCTGAGCCACGGGGCAAATTTCAAGTATTGCTTAAGCATCCAAACATGGACATGGGCAAAGACGCTGGGGCGGCTCTTGTGATGTTTTGTTCTTGGGACTTGTTCCGTTCTTGGCTTGATGATCCAGGCCAAGCATACATTGGGTAGAACATTGCTTCCCGAGATGTTGCTAGTTGCATCATGATTAGGGCACTTTGCAAAGGACCATATGGCGCAATGTGTGGTGAAATGTCTTGCTGGCAGCCTTTTCTCTTGCGGGCTCAACCTATTCGGAACCACATGCCTCAAACACTCGTGAAAAACGGAAACACGTTCGCATATATGTGCTTGTTAGTAACATGTTAGTGTCATATGTCAAACCCATCCACTGGTCCTGCAATTACTTCAGGCGCAGGGAAATGGTCTTTATCACTCGAATGAACATGTTGCAAGAGCAGCCAGCTTTTGTGAAACGTGGCGTGTTTACCTAGGAGTCTTACTGGATTTGCCAACACGGACATTTTGCAAGAAAAAACATCGACGTGTTTCAATGAAGGCATTATTGAGCGACTATACCCTCTTGCACAAATGGAAGGGCCTAGAAGGGCCTGGAAGGGAAGCCTGCCCAAATCGATTCAATATGATTCACTTGGTAGCGTCGGAAAGGTAAACTCAAAGAGGTATGGACTGCGAGCATAAGGCGTCCCATCAGGGCCAAGTATTGCTGCAACAGCCTCCGACACAGAGAGCTGCAGCAAAACATAGAGGACTTGGCAAACGCTCTGTCAAGTACGCAACTTTTAGTATGTCAATGTCATGCTGATTTCAAATCTGGATCTTCACTTCTGCACCTGGTGGGGTCTCTCTTCATAGAAGTGGTGGAAGATGCCCTGGGCACTGCTACTGAATAACAGCAACAGGCTCAACTACAGAAGGCCAAAGGTGTTTTATCCTGGTGCGTTAATATGCCGCTGTCTGGCAAGCGGACCTGCGTTTCTAGCCCTTCTTGATTTAAGGCAGCTTGTTCACGCAGAAGTCGCCTGATGGAGGCGGGCGATGATTTCGTGCATGGCTAAACATGGGAAAATATCAAAACTTGGCGCCTTGAAGCAACTACCGACAAATTTCCATTGTAGTCCTCACCCGGCTCCGAAAGGTGCCCAGTAGAGAGCATTTACCCATGGGCATGGGGCTGAACGATTAGATCCTTCGTGCCTTCTTCAGTTGCAATTCACTCTCTTGTAACCGCAAGGGAGTGTTCAATGCTATGTCACAAACAAATGCCGCGAAACCATAAGGCAAAGTGTAAGCATTGCTTGACAACAATTGGTGGGAAGACACCATGGTAGAAAATGTGAAACATGTCGCTGATGTGTCACGTCATGCCGCAAGCTTCAAGTGATTGAACCAAACCACACTGCAGCACGTTCAAGTGGCAGCATTCGAAGTCATTGTAACGTTTAAAGTTTAACGTAACGTTTAACCTAACGTTTAACAGATGTTCTTCGAATGTTCGTGGCAACGGATGTTCTTCGAACATTCTCTGCCAAACCTTCGTCCAAGCCACCATCCACGAACTGCTTCTGAGGCGAGTTTTTCGTGAAATGATGGAGGTAACCAGCCACCTAACAGAATGCCGAATAAATCGAATAATGAAACAAACACTCTAATTCTGAAGGCAAACATCTATTTAATATTAGGTGATTCAGTTTTCGTCAACGGCCAATGAGAGTAGGACCATGATTGCTGAACAAATTTGATTCCTGCCTATGTCCGTGGTGAGCGGGACCACCTGCAGTAAAGGTGAAGATTGTTTGTCGAAATTGCGTGTGGGAAATTGTTGTATGAACAGTGAACGGAGGTTCCAATCCTCCACATGGGCGGGCCATAGCATGTGCACCTGGCTGACGAAGCAAAATGAAAGTTGCATGTTCAGAATTTTGTTGTCATCCATACATCAAAAACATCAAAATGAGATCAGTCACAACCAAACAAGAAACCAGCTGAGTTTTAAACACTGCTGGCAGGCTGTCCGGGAGGCAAAGGTTCCTACAAACCCAGTGACCGTACAACCAAAGCACGGCGTATCAGATTGATAAATATGGTTTAGTGATTGATTGATTGATCGATCCATTTGATTGATTGATGGAATCATTCGCCCCATCTTCACTCCTGCTCCTTCAGTAACTCCTGAAAAGCTTCTCCCGTTTGACAATGCTGACCTGAAATCAAATATCGTTAAAAAAATGCACACCTAGAGAAATATATAATTATATATATATATATATTCGGACTGCGGTTCCGGAACTTAGTTTTGGACATTCAAAGTTTTGTGCCGATATTGGTGACCTCGATTGGACATGCCATTGAAACCATGAACTGTGGTTGTTTTCACTTCATGAGTCCCTCTCTTCGTCGTATGACTGCTTCAATATTCTGCACAGTTGCCGGCTTGAAAAGGATTTACAAGACCACAATCCTGCAATATGTTCCACGTCAAACTCTTGTACTCGCGGCGCTTAAGTGGAACTCTTGTAGCCTTTGAAAATAAATCCTCCCTGCGGTCCCTCTTAGCTCAGCTGTAGGCATATATGCACATATTGCCAGTGCACATTGCGCCCAAAAACGAAACAACATAGTGGCGGCAAGGCTACGAATTCAACACATTTGTCCCAAGACCGTGTGAAAATTGCATAAGGCGGGAAAATCCATTGAGAACAAATCCAAAGGAAAAACTGAGCTGTTGGTAGGTGATTTTCCACCAAATGTGCGGCGGCTGTTCGGTCTGTAAGTTCATAAATCTTACCCCGAACACTAAGGAAAAGCAATGTCGAATGCCCAAATACACCTGTCTCAGGTTCAACAGCGCACTTGCTTCGGCCATCAAAATCAATTGACTAATTTCGATCCACTCAACATAAATGCCAGAAAAACAATTAAATCCAACACTGGTGCAAAATGCAAGACACAATTTGGTCCTTCAAATTTGATGTTCAATATACATGTTGTTTGGAAAAAAGACAAATATTTTGATTTGTCCTTATTTTAGCCGTCGTGGTTCTGAAGCTACTGGCGTGGGTTCCGACCCACCAGCGGTGAACACCGGCACGTGGTTGGGGCTGCTATAGGGGTTGCAGGGCTGCCTTACCGAGATTCACCTTTGCTTGATTGCCCTTTTCAATTCTTTCCACTTCCCCTCAGCCTACAATGAGGTGCATTTGTTTTGTCAATTTTGTTCTTAATGTTTTCCTTTTCTGTTGTCACACAACTGCATCGTCGCATCCTGTGAGCGCCGTTGCGGGCGGTATTTCGCAAATAGTCTGGGTCCAAGCGCTCCGTTTGGGAGTCGAAGTCATCCAAGCCAGGCATCCAAATTCCTTTACTCACCGAACTGGGCTGGTGTCTGGTGATGACATTCAGTCCTTGCAAGTTTTCCCCATGGAGCGATTTCATGATAGTTCACACGGGCATCAGCTTGGCAAATTTAGGCACCATAAGACAACCCGGCTACAGACATGTGCCTTGATCTGCAAGGGCTACAACTAAAGAAAGCTGGAGTCTTTTGGGTTGGAAGGATCTCGGCTCAAAGAATGTGTGATCACAATTCATGACCCGGTTCTCGGTCGCAATGAGAGCCGAGCAGCGACGCTAGTCAACATGGCTCTCGACGATGGCAACTACATCCACAGAGCTCAGCAGGAGATGACCGTTGAAATTTCATGCCCACCAAAAATAGCCCTGTGGGCTGAAATTCGGCAGTCAGATTCGAATGCTCATGATTGGCAAGCGCGTTCATTGCGGAAGTTCTGAAACCCGAGTGTGAAGACAGAGACTTTTGGCCCATAGATGCCAGAACAGAAGCAACTACTTGGTGAAAAGACTTCAGGTTCCAGTTTCTGATCGGGATCGTATCTACAGCAAATCTGGAAAAAATTCGGTCACGTTCCGATAGGCGCGTGGACCTTTTGACCCTGATGAGGCTGGCCTCAAGATCATCAAGATTGAGGATAGTCCTCCCGATACAAGGGCTGGTTTCCAAAAATATGTCCATCTCAAGGGATTTCTTGAGCTATTCTGCCCCCAAAGTGTCTTTTATCTTCCGGTTCAAGATGTGCACTTGGGAGAGGCGCGACAGTTCATCTACGGCAACAGTGGCATCTTCAATGCCCAGACCATGAGCATGAAGCTCACCAAGAGATTCACTGGAGCTACAGTGGCCGCAGTTGTGGAGACATGTGCCTCGCTTAGCTGGCATGTCGTTCCACTCCGTATCATTCATGTGGCTGAGCTTGCTGTTGCTATTGTAGGAAGCAACTCCTCACCAACTTTCTGCCCAATTCCCACGAACTTTCTTCAAGTTGAAGAGATTGGGAAGAGAGCCCCTAGGAAGCCAAGAACCAATAGCGAGTTCAGCTCAATCTCAGGTTCCAATGACCGTAAGGTGGAAGTCTCTACCCGGTCCTCCTTTTCCAGGCCGCGAGTGGCCAATCCATCTTCGGCCCAGTCGCCGCCAGGATCATTTATGTCACCTTTCGCATCCAGTTTGGCTGGCAAAGTGCAAGCCCTGGAAAATCGCATGAACAGAGTTAGCAGTGATGTGAAGGTGTTGCAAAAAAAAACAGGCGGAGACCCACGAAGACATCAGCCAGATCAAACAAGTTCAGGAAGGAGGATTCTCATCTTTGATGTGTGCTATCAACGAGTTGAAAGACATGCAGGAAAGAATGATGACAGCAGCCAGTAGTGCAAGTACCCCGATCCACTCACCTCTGCCAAAGGTGGCAAAGTTCTGATATTTATCTTCGATGTTAATCTCCATGTTCTGTTCTTTTTCAACTGGTCCCTTCTCAAAGTTGTGCCCTTAGCACTTGTTTGGTGGGATTGCTTCAATTTAGAACAGAACTGGCCACGCGGAGTAAGTTTTGATTTCAGATCTTTAATGTTCGTGAATAGCTTCTCTGCCTTAATTCATTTAGTTGGTTTTTTTGCACGGGTCGGATCTGTGTTCGCACTGGTTTTCTTTCTGTTTTTCTCTTTTTGTCGGGTGCCTCTTTGTTGTCTTTTGGATTAGGATACGCCTCTTTGGTCGCTACTTTCCCTCTCCCATGTTGAACAGAAGCTCTCGAAAATGTTTGGCTCACAAGGGTTTTTCATCTGTTGTTTTCGTGACTATTTCTTTCCGTGCTTCATGGCGAGGTCATTTGTGGAAAGTAAGCAGAGGCCTTTTCGTGATGGCACTTTTGATACCCCAGCGCGTTGGGCCAACCATGTCTAATGACACAACCGGCAGACAGGTCAAAATCAAAATGGATGGTGTTCCTTTGTTCCGGATGTTTTCGGAATCCTACCCTTCTCGCCCACTTTTCGATATCTACAGTCCTTGTCTCGGGTTTCCTGGGGAAGGGCCTACTGGTGCATTTTCCTTTATTTCTGTTAATGTGAGTTCTTGTCCAAAGTACAGGGATCACATTGCTTCTTTCTCAGCATATGATTCCAACGGAGTAGCAGCGATGTTCTTGCAAGAATCTCGTGTGCCGAAGAGTTCTGCTGTGTCCTTGCTGAAATCATTAATTCTTCAAGGCTGGATTTGATCTATCCTTGGGTCCTCAACCTGACCTTTCTCGGGTCAAAGGCCCTGCAAAAATTTTGAGACAGGGACACGGCGGAGTTGCAGCTCTTGTCCAAAAAGACATACCATGTGCTTTGGTGCTCAGCTGGAACAGCCCAGACAGGCTTTATCTTTTGTAATGTGTATTTGCCGGCTGGACCTGTCAGAAAGACGAGGTCTGCCATTTTGCGAATCTGTTTTTTGCTGCCTGTCAAGGTTCAATTTTTATCCTTGTTTTGTGGTTGGTGATTTCCAGGAAGAACCAGAATTTCAGCAGTGGCACAAGCCATGGTTTCCTGTACTTGGTTTGATGCGCATGCACAAATCCAATCAGTGCATGGTCGTGATCTAGAGGCTACGTTTTCCAGAAAAGGGTGGGAATCCTTGCTACCTGGTCCTTACCGAGACATTCAAATTTTGCGCGATTCCGTTCTCCCCAGGCACTGCCCTTTGCGAATCTAGAAATCTTACATGAAGATATCGCGGTGGTTCCCCTAAGGAAGAAATGGCAACTCCCAGCAAAGCCCACTAATCAGGCAGAATGGGCTGCCCAAGCTAGCTTGCGT